GGCGGTGAAGTTTGCGCTCCTATGGACTTCCCTTTGAGTCGGATTCAGCTGCTGTGCGGGTGTTGGCAGTGCTTCGTCAATGAGGACTGGTGTCCTTGTTCTTGCTACTGCCGATGATGTCTCTGCTGCTGCCGATGTTGTTTCTGCTGCTGCCAATGATGTCTCTGCTGCTGCCGATGTTGTCACTGCTGCTGCCGATGTTGTCACTGCTGCTGCCGATGTTGTCACTACTACTGCCGATGTTGTCTCTGCTGCTGCCGATGTTGTCACTGCTGCTGCCGAATGTTGTATTGTTACTAACGCACGTGTTCGTTCTGCTTCAGGAATGGTATGTGAATACTAGAAGCCTTCCGTACTGAAGTCGGGGTCGAGATCCGGCGGGTGCGTCCAAGATGTGAAGGTGACGATCCCGTCACTGTCTGCGGTGCCCAGGTCTGGGACGAAATCGAGAACGAAGACATTGTTCTTCAGGACCGCCTTTCCGATGTAAAGGCCTCCCTTCCCGTGGTACAGCTTGAACTCATGGGTGGTACTGTCGGCTTCCAGATGTATGCCTTTCGCCATCAACTGGCTGACGCTCAGTAGGTTGTAGCCAAGTCCTTCTGCTATTAGGACTTTGGACATTTTCAGTATGACATTCGTCTCTCGTGACTGAAGTTGCACTACTCCTTGTCGTCGTGTGCGCAGGTTCTGATTATTGGCGACAGTGATGACGACTTCTCGTTGAAGTTGGTGCTCGCGTCGAACGAAACGTCGTGAGGAGCACATTGTCAAAATATGGTTATATATTTTATATAATCGTTTGCAGTTGTAGTGTACATATTGCATCATGTTTGGTGGTGCACCTCCTTGTGTTGCTGTTTACCTATTTGTACTTGCCATTCTCATTAGTGAAACCCCATTCCTCTCGACATTTCTCCACACACTCGACACTTTTCCTAAACTCACTCGAACTCAATTTCTCCTAACTCACTAGCCATGGATCCTAAGTCTTGCTAGCCTTTTAATATGTTATCTGAGCAACCAAGGTCCTGACCTGTGGGCCCACCCTAAAGCTTCCGCTGCTAATCTGTGTTCGGCATGCCCCGTGACGTGCCCTTGGCCCTACGGCCCCATCGCCTACCTGCGGCCCCGGCCCCGTCGCCTACCTACGACCCTACGGCCCCGTCGCCTACCTGCCTACCTACGGCCTCGTCACCTACTTGCGGCCCCGGCCCCGTCGCATACCTGCGGCCCCGTCGCTGCCTTTACCGGCCCGTCGCCGCCCTTCCAGGCCCGTCACGGCCCCCTTAGCGGCCCCGTCGCCCACCCTTCAGCAAGCCCCGTCGCCTACCTTGCGGCCCCGGCCCCATCGCGTAACTGCGGCCCCGGCCCCGTCGCCTAACTGCGGCCCCGGCCCCGTCCCCTACCTGCGGCCCTACGGCCCCGCCGCCTACTTGCGGCCCCGGCCCCGTCACCTACCTGCGGCCCCGGCCCCGTCTCCTAAACATGCGGCCCCAGCCCCGTCGCCACCTGCGGCCCTGCCACCTGAGGCCCAGATGCCACCTACGGCCCCGCCCACTTGCGGCCCCGACCCCGCCCCGGCCATGTCCCGTCACCAGCTGCGGCACACCGGGGGCACGTGCACCGCCCCCCCCCCTTTTCCCGTCACCTGTCGAGGCGACCTGAGGGGGCCGCCTGGAAAGGGGGGGCAGGCGTCGCCCCCTCTGCCGCCTGCTTTGGCGCCCGGGGAGGCCGTGCGTCGCCCCCCCCCCCCCCCCCCCCTTCTCCTCCTCCTTTTGTTCCCTCTGCTGCAGCTGCCGCTGGGGGGGAGGGTGTGAGGGTGTGGGGGAGCCCGAGGAGTGGCACTGGGGTGGCGGGTGTGAGACCACCCAGCCGACGTCCCTCCACCTCTCCTCTATTCCCCCCCTCTGCTGCTCCTGCAGCAGTGTGTGGGGGAGGGGGGAGGGGAGGGGGAGGGGGAGGGGGAGGGTGAGGGGATGGAGTGGGTGACCAGCGTGGGCGGTTTACACTTACCAGAGTGGGCGTTTTACACTTACTCCTGCAATCAATTATGGGGGCGTGTCAAAATATGGTTACATATTTTATATAATCGTTTGCAATTGTAGTGTACATATTGCATCATGTTTGGTGGTGCACCTCGTTGTTGTTTACCTATTTGTACTTGCCATTCTCATTAGTTAAACCCCATTCCTCTCGACATTTCTCCACACACTCGACACTTTTCCTAAACTCACTCGAACTCAATTTCTCCTAACTCACTAGCCATGGCTCCTAAGTCTTGCTAGCCTTTTAATACACATATGTTGTCCGCAGCAATTGTCCAAGAACCATGTATCCTTCCCGGACGGCTCGCTTTGGGCGATGGCGGCGTACGTCGGGTTTGGTTGAAGTGACTCGCGGCAAGGCGTGTTGTTCTCGAGTTGTTCTTCTGGTGAGTAATATGGTGGTGACTCAGTTACGCAAGAGTCATTCAGTCTTGTCATGCAGCTGACGATGTTTCTTGTTCCTTTCACAGGTTGTCCCATTGATGTTGCTGAGACGTGTACTGAGGTTGTCGGATTTGCTTGCGTTGAAGCGACTTGACTACTTGAAGGGCGAAGTTGGCGTTGTCGATTTGGGCAGTGCGTACGAGGATGCACTGAAGTCTTGCAGAGGTGGCAGAACGGAGGTACGATTTTCGGTCGATTGTTGTTGTTGTTGTGGCGCCGTTGAGTGTGAAACGCGAATTCGGGCACTGACACCTTTCTCTTGTGTCGTTCTTCTTGCAGGTCCATATCTTGCTGTTCGGCGTGGATTTCGGCGCAAAGTGCTGCTTCAGAGATTTTCCCATGGGCTCATAGTATGGCGCGAGTGGAGCGCCAGTGAGGACCAAGACCGCTGATGACAACCGTGACGAAGGCGTCCTCTGAAATCGATCCTCCACATCGAAGAAGCTTGTCGCGCAGCTCGCGACATCGACTGATATACGCCATTCCCTTCTCGCCTGGTTTCATTTCGATTGTAGTTAGCTGCGCCATTAACCGACTTTGGTTTACGCTGTCTGTTGCTTGATACAGGCTCTTCAAGTGATTGTAGGCGAGCTCCGCGGAGTTGCCGTAGCCTCGGTAAGACCGTACCGTATTCTCCCGGATATAAGACCCTAGGGTCTTATGAAAAAATCAGAGAAAAAAAGGGGGGGTCTTATCAAAGACTTAGAAATGTATAGTACCCGGGTCTCATCATATGGACATATTTTTATTAAGTGTGTTTGAATGCTTAGCTGTTGTGGGTGATACAGCATTTGTTTTTATCATGGATAGGACCACGGATGTGCGTATTTCGCTAATCAATCCGGGTGTGGCTTCTCATTGGTCGAAATGGCACATTTAGGGTGATCTAGCGTTACATGGCAAGATTCCTTGCCTTGTCATCGTGCATTCCAACCTTAGCGGTCTAGAACATGCACTGTGATCCTTGAACAATCAACCCTGTGTGGGTTTATGGACATCTAACTCTCTTAGCATTGTTAGTGTGGGCATGAAACGAACAAGAGAACCCCAATTGGACTAGTATCTAGGCTCGGAGGGGGTCTAGTAATGTTACCCCCTCAAGGGGGGGGGTATAGTGGAAACCTGCCAAAATAAAAGACCCACCCCCGTATTACAGACCCGGGGGTCTTGTTTTCCGGGGGGTCTTATATCCGGGAGAATACGGTATGTTTTGTTGTTGAGTTGGAGTGATGTTCCTCAGTAGTATCATGTACGCCATCATTGATTGATAGGTGTACTGCTGCTTCTCATACTGTGTGCCGTTTGTTGGGTATGGCAGGGACCCGTCGAAGAAGCCAAGGATTTGCGCTCCTTCCATCATCAGCTCGAATTTGAATGACCAGGTTAAGAAATCCTTCCCGTCGAAGGGTTTTGTCGTTTGCAGTTTTATAACGTGCGCGAACTGCGACTAAACTTGTAGTGCGTCCAACGTTCTCTCTTGTCCCGGTGCAGGTTGTGGTTGTGGCATGAAGCTGACGGAGCCGCGTTGAGGCTCGTACGGAGCGAATATAGGTTGTTGATTCCCGCGTGCGTAGGATGAGCCATCGAGACTCATGGGTATCACGTTGTTGTTGTTGTTGCCGTTGATTGATTGCACAGGTGCTCCTTGCTGATGCTGCTCGTAGAAGGACATGAAGGAGAAGAACTTCTCCATCATACTTGGATCGAAGCCCGCGCCTTGGTTTGCGGGTGTTTCAGTAGACCCAACTGCCGGTCTCGTTGTTGTGCCTTCTTCTGTCTGTAGGCCAGAGGCAGGAGGTGGAGTAGTAGTATCAGGAGAGCCGTTAGAGGAGCTCCTCTCCTTTCTGGTAGACATGTCTCTTGGTGTATTAGGTGTTGAGGAGAAATAATTTTAACCCTAACCTGCTCTCATACCATGTTGGGCTGAGTGCCCCTTAGGATCTTTGGTAGGGTTAAAGTCTGAGTAAAGTGATGTAGTAGCGGAAGCGTTTAAGTGAAGTCATTGAACCACCTTGCGCTGATATGTGAGGGCAAAGTAAGTTGTTTAAAGCAAAGAGATACCAGATTATATATGAATACAGAAAATATGAAGAGATATAGTTATAACTACTTTACTGTTGCTGTTGCGGTTCGATACAGTGCGACTCGGGCAACTGCTCAATGTCGAGTCAGTTGTGTGTCCTTGCTGTAGCGCTGCATTTGTCAGGTCAAAGGTCGCTGACCTTTGACTTTCGCGTAACCTCCAACGGTTACATCAACCTCCGAGGGTTGACTCGCTGATGCCTCGATATGCTCTGCTTCGCTTGTGCCTTGGTGTTTCGACACGACAGAGGCGCTTAAGATTGTTTGTTCCCAACAGAATTTACCACGTTTACACCTATTTCCTTCGTCAAGGTTTGTGCCAAAGAGAATTTTAAGAAATGAGTGACATGCCAAGGTGTGTCCTTTACATGCTTGCGCCACAACCCAAAAAGGTCGTGCAATACATTTTTTAGGGGGAAGTCCAGCCTAGACATTGTACAGCTTCTCAATCTCCTTCTCCTCGTTCTCCTCCTTGGCACGGCCATAGACGTCAATGCTGAGGTCCTGCTTGATGTTGTCCGAGTCGTCCACCACGTTCTCCATGTTGAGCACACGCTTGTCCTCCACTGAGAAGTTGAAGTCCGACCTCACCGTGCCTAGCGGCACCAGATTCCTGCAATGCACCAGAGGACAGAATTGGGATTGGAATGAGGAAATGGCATGATTGAGAGGGATGTAGCTTGTGCAAGTAGCGAGGCTGGTGAGGACTTCAGCAGGGAGAAAGAAAAAGTTCATTCAGTCATCGGAGGGTGGAAATTCGGACGAGGAGAGGCGTGGGAGGTGGAGGTAGGGAAAGGGAACGGGTATAGGGTGGCCCAGGGTGAAGTATATTCTTGACAACGGACAGTGGATGTTGAGGCGGTTATGACGCCTATTGGTTTAGACAGGTTGAGACCTAAAGATGGTACACTTGACATTGACGCAGGTAGCGTGCCTCCCGTCCGTGAACTCATCTAATTCAACCAGTTCGTCCACGCCCTAACAAGGCGTTGACGAAATTCAACTTCAAGAGCAGTCGACAGACCTTTGAGAAGTTACGCTTTGAGAAATAAAGCTAATTGTCATGAACGGCTCGAACCCACCGCCAGAGTCATGCGACAGGACTCGAGGCGTTCAGCGAGAACTTGGAAATAAACTTACAGCAGATGCTCCTGTGGGTGTTGCCTCTTCCAAGTCCTCGATGCGCACTTCGTCCGGAAGTCGAAGTCCTCAGCAAAGACGCCGTTGCTGAATTCGGCCGGCAGCAGAGACGCATCCTGCTTCAGCACAACCCCGAGGGTCGTGCCGGTCACGTGTGTGTAGCATGTGACACCGCCGTTATCCATGCACTCCAGCGCGCCTGCCGGAATGGCTTCGATGACAAACATGTCCTGGAGCTTCGCGTTCTCGTCCTTCACGAAGCAGTGCGCGAGGCCGACGGTGACGAAGTCGTCATCGTTCCAGTCGGGATTCTCGCCTGTCAGGTTAGCAACCACGACACTGCGTGCAGAAGCAGAGACGGCGCGGACAGAAACCTTGGCGCTGGTAGCGCGGAAGGCAGCTCTGGAGATCGATCCTTGGCAGAAGGCGGAATTTCTGAAGGACACGGACGGGCATGACACAGCATCCTTGGAATCAACAGGAGACGCGCAGGGCGCAGCCAGGCCGGAAACCGCGACCTGGCTAGATAGCACACTGCAAGCCATTATGTAAAGGAATGTACAAGCTACTGGTAATTCCTCTGAACAATCCTTCCAGCAAAACGACTTGCGGTGACTGGATCACTCGAGAGAAGTCTCGACTAGGTGATCGTAATTGTCGCTGAAAGCAAAAAACAGAAGCTTTGTTTGAGATGAGAGCACTTCGGCTTTCCTTTCTCTTGGGAATTTCTGTCACTCTATTGGTGCGATTCTCCAAAGGAGTTCGTGCTCTGTTTCCCCTGTGTTCCTGACTGCCTGCCAGCTAGGTGGGCGAGTGCGTGCATTGCGCTCCGATTGCCCCAAGGAGGGGGACGAGGCTGCGGTAAGTAAATCCGCCTGCCGAATGAATGAGGAGCACGGAGCGCCTCATCCACGTCCACGTCAGCTGCACGGGCAGCACTTTTCGAAAGGGCTTGCCACATCTGCACCAGTTCCTCATTCTCGTTAAGGAATGCCTATGAATTTTCGATACAGACGTTTTGAGTATCTGGTCCCAATAACAATAAGAAAACATCCCACTTTGCGAGCTAAATTATTATTTTCGTCGCACAATTGAGCCTGATCACAGATTGTGCCCTTTTCCCTCCATTTTGCCCAACCCATTTCTTCCAGCACGCCTGACCAGCCAACACACGCGGATCTCCGCATTCACTTTCCTAGACGTTCTTTGACGCCGCCTTTGTTAGCGAATCAATTCGCGGGATTTCAGGCCGCCGTGCATTCCGGTGACCATGGCGGAACCTACGGCGATGGAAGTGGAGCCAGCTTCCGCTGACTCGAAGCCCTTACCTCGTCCCCTGGCATTTAATGGTAACCACACTAGATGGATGTCCTTTTTCAAGATTCAGGACTATTAGGTATTTCACTGGTAGACCTATTATCATAAAATCCTTTCGCATCGTGAATAATGCGTTTTCCTGCCGACCTCCCTTCCTGCGACAGTGCTGCATCTCATCAAGACAGCTCAGGCGCAGCATGGAGGTCGCTACGGCGACTACCAGCGCTACCGGTATGCCTCGGGACTGCCGTGACTCGACGTCGGCTCGCTCATTTACAATTTAACTCCTGTAGTCTTTGACGTTGCCAGTTTAACGGACCTGGCTAGTAATGTTATGTGAAAGCCGTTACGGCGTCGGCATCTGTGTCTTCGTTGCGGGCAATCTTTCGCCTCTTGTGCGTCATATTTCGCCCATCACTACTTCCCGCCGATCATTCTTACCCAACCACCATTATCACCGACCAATCATTGCCATCCGTTGCAGGCGGTACTGCTCCGCTCGTCTGCGCCGATTGTTCCGGTCGCTGCGCTTCCTCCACGGCAAGGGCAAGTACCAGCGCAAGTCGCTCGAGCCCAACACTGTCACCGATGTCAGGTGCGCGAATTGTGTCTGTAGGTTTCCCGCCAAGACTGCTGATTTCAGGTTAGCGCAGTTTGTTATGTGTGTGTAACGACGTCAGGAACCCCTTCCCCTTTACCTACTCCCCCTCCCCAGCCCCCCCTCTCCCCCCCACTGACTCTTGAGCAAGGGGATTTCCCTCCCTGTGGTTCCGTCGCCTACCTGCATACCTCGCTTGACTCCCGTCTGCAATTTCAACCTAACGCCAACTTCCCTCCCCATTTCTCTCCTGGTCCCTTACTCCGCACCCCCCCATCCCTCCATCCTTTCCATCGCCTCCCCACCCCCACCCCCCATCAGGCATCTGCACATCCCGCTGTTCTCGGCGGAGCGCGCGTGGGCGTACGCGATGGAGCTCAAGCAGGCCATCAGCGAGGCGGGCTCCGCCGCCGCCGCGCAGGCCGCCTTCGCGCGCAAGCGCGCGCACCTTCTGCGCCGCCTGGCGCGTGCGGCCAGATGGGCGGACGGGTTCTCGCACCTGTGCGCCGCCAGGGCCGACTCTAAAACCGCGCTGGAGGCGGAGGTGGGGCGGGGAGCAGGGGGAAGATGAGGGGGGAGGTGGGGAACGCGGGTGCGGGGAAGAGGGGGGTTGTATGAATGTGTGGATGTGTGGGGGGTTGGGTAGAACGTGCTGGTTGATGGGGGATTGCTGCACATTTTGACCCTATGTTACTCCCGAGTAGTCCAAACGTGATCCCTTTCTGATCCCTCCTCGTTCTCCCATGCGCCGTCTGTGTGTGTGCGTGCGTGCGTGTGTGCATGTGTGTGTGCATGCGTGTGTGCGTGAGTGTGTGCGTGTGTATGGGTGTGTGTGTGCATGTGTGCATGTGTGATTGTGTGATTGTGTGCATGCATATGGTGCATGTGCGTGTGCATGGGTGCGTGCGTGCGTGTGTGTGTGCATATGTGTGTGCGCGTGTGTATGTGTAAGTGCGTGCATTTGTGCATGTGTGCATGTGTGTGCATGTGTACATTTGTGCATGTTTGCATGTGTGCATGCATGTGCATGCGTGCGCATGAGCATCACAGGCATACGCGTCCTACATGTGGGGCACAGTGCTCATGGAGCGTGAAACGGACTTCGACGCCGCCCTGCAGAAGTTCAGCCGCGCGCGGTGAGCAGGGGCAGGGGAAGTTCGGATGGGGAGGGGGCGGAGGAAGGGGAGGGGGAAAGACGCTGAGCCTGGGAGGCATGCTATGCTTTGGCGTGACGCGACAGAACTGATAGGGACTGCACCTTGGCTTCACCTTATTTCTGTCTTCCTGTGTCGGCATGCTGTCTTTTGAATTATGAACCCCCCTATTCCCCTTCTTCCTCTCCCTATTCCACATCCCCTTTCGTTCTCCTGCTTCTGTCCTGTTCCCTCTCCCCACCCGCCTGCTTCTGTCCTGTTCCTCTTCCCTATCCTCCGCGCCCTCCCGGCTTCTGTCATCCTCCCTTAAACCTGACAGCAATGACCTCAAACCTGGCGTCAAACCTGGCGTCAAACCTGGCGTCAAACCTGACCTCAAACCTGACCTCAATCCTGACCTCAAACCTGACGTCAAACCCGACCTCAAACCTGACCTCAAACCTGACCTCAAACCTGACGTCAAACCTGACCTCAAACCTTACCTCAAATCTGACGTCAAACCTGACGTCAAACCTGACACGTCAAACCTGACCCCAAACCTGACGTCAAACCTGACCTCAAACCTGACCTCAAACCTGACGTCAAACCTGGCCTCAAACCTGACCTCAAACCTGACGTCAAACCTGACCTCAAACCTGACCTCAAACCTGACGTCAAACCCGACCTCAAACCTGACGTCAAACCTGTCCTCAAACCTGACCTCAAACCTGACCTCAAACCTGACCTCAAACCTGACGTCAAACCTGACCTCAAACCTGACCTCAAACCTGACGTCAAACCCGACCTCAAACCTGACGTCAAACCTGTCCTCAAACCTGACCTCAAATCTGACCTCAAACCTGACGTCAAACCTGACCTCAAACCTAACCTCAAACCTGACCACAAACCTGACGTCAAAACTGACGTCAAAACTGACGTCAAACCTGACGTCAAACCTTACTTTAAACCTGACGTCAAGCCTGACGTCAAGCCTGACCTCAAACCTGACGTCAAACCTGATGTCAAACCTGACCTCAAACCTGACGTCAAACCTGATCTCAAACCTTACCTCAAACCTGACCCCAAACCTGACCTCAAACCTGACCTCAAACCTGACCTCAAGCCTGACCTCAAACCTGCCTGACCTCAAACCTGACGTTAAACCTTACCTCAAACCTGACCCCAAACCTGACCTCAAACCTGACGTCAAACCCGACCTCAAACCTGACGTCAAACCTGACCTCAAACCTGAGCTCAAACCTGACCCCAAACCTGACCTCAAAACCTGACGTCAAACCTGATGTCAAACCTGACCTCAAACCTGACCTCAAACCTGACCTCAAACCTGACGTCAAACCTGACGTCAAACCTGACGTCAAACCTGACCTCAAACCTGACCTCAAACCTGACGTCAGACCTTACCTCAAACCTGACCCCAAACCTGACGTCAAACCTGACCTCAAACCTGTACTCAAACCTGACCTCAAACCTAACGTCAAACCTGAACTCAAACCTGACGTCAAACCTGACCTTAAACATGGCCTCAAACCTGGCCTCAAACCTGAACTCAAACCTGACCTCAAACCTGACGTCAAACCTGACCTCAAACCTGACCTCAAACCTGACCCCAAACCTGACATCAAACCTGAACTCAAACCTGACGTCAAACCCGACCTCAAACCTGACGTCAAACCTGACGTCAAACCTGACCTCAAACCTGACCTCAAACCTGACGTCAAACCTGACCTCAAACCTAACCTCAAACCTGACCACAAACCTGACGTCAAAACTGACGTCAAACCTGACGTCGAACCTTACTTTAAACCTGACGTCAAGCCTGACGTCAAACCTGACGTCATTTGACCTCAAACCTGACCTCAAACCTGCCTGACCTCAAACCTGACGTCAAACCTGACCTCAAACCTGACCTCAAACCTGACCCCAAACCTGACATCAAACCTGACCTCAAACCTGACATCAAACCCGACCTCAAACCTGACGTCAAACCTGACCTCAAACCTGGCCTCAAACCTGACCTCAAACCTGACCTCAAAACTGACCTCAAACCTGACCTCAAACCTGACCCCAAACCTGACGTCAAACCTGACCTCAAACCTGACATCAAACCCGACCTCAAACCTGACGTCAAACCTGACCTCAAACCTGACCTCAAACCTGATCCCAAACCTGACCTCAAACCTGACCTCAAACCTGCCTGACCTCAAACCTGACGTCAAACCTGACCTCTAACCTGACCTCAAACCTGACCCCAAACCTGACGTCAAACCTGACCTCAAACCTGACATCAAACCCGACCTCAAACCTGACGTCAAACCTGACCTCAAACCTGACCTCAAACCTGACCTCAAACCTGACCTCAAACCTGACCTCAAACCTGACCTCAAACCTGACCCCAAACCTGACGTCAAACCTGACCTCAAACCTGACATCAAACCCGACCTCAAACCTGACGTCAAACCTGACCTCAAACCTGACCTCAAACCTGATCCCAAACCTGACGTCAAACCTGACCTCAAACCTGCCTGACCTCAAACCTGACGTCAAACCTGACCTCAAACCTGACCTCAAACCTGACCCCAAACCTGACGTCAAACCTGACCTCAAACCTGACATCAAACCCGACCTCAAACCTGACGTCAAACCTGACCTCAAACCTGACCTCAAACCTGACCTCAAACCTGGCCTCAAACCTGACCTCAAACCTGATCCCAAACCTGACCTCAAACCTGACCTCAAACCTGCCTGACCTCAAACCTGACGTCAAACCTGACCTCTAACCTGACCTCAAACCTGACCCCAAACCTGACGTCAAACCTGACCTCAAACCTGACATCAAACCCGACCTCAAACCTGACGTCAAACCTGACGTCAAACCTGACCTCAAACCTGACCTCAAACCTGACCTCAAACCTGACCTCAAACCTGACCCCAAACCTGACGTCAAACCTGACCTCAAACCTGACATCAAACCCGACCTCAAACCTGACGTCTAACCTGACCTCAAACCTGACCTCAAACCTGATCCCAAACCTGACGTCAAACCTGACCTCAAACCTGCCTGACCTCAAACCTGACGTCAAACCTGACCTCAAACCTGACCTCAAACCTGACCCCAAACCTGACGTCAAACCTGACCTCAAACCTGACATCAAACCCGACCTCAAACCTGACGTCAAACCTGACCTCAAACCTGACCTCAAACCTGACCTCAAACCTGGCCTCAAACCTGACCTCAAACCTGACCTCAAACCTGACCCCAAACCTGACGTCAAACCTGACCTCAAACCTGACATCAAACCCGACCTCAAACCTGACGTCAAACCTGACCTCAAACCTGACCTCAAACCTGATCCCAAACCTGACCTCAAACCTGACCTCAAACCTGCCTGACCTCAAACCTGACGTCAAACCTGACCTCAAACCTGACCTCAAACCTGACCCCAAACCTGACGTCAAACCTGACCTCAAACCTGACATCAAACCCGACCTCAAACCTGACGTCAAACCTGACCTCAAACCTGACCTCAAACCTGACCTCAAACCTAACCTCAAACCTGACCTCAAACCTGACCTCAAACCTGACCCCAAACCTGACGTCAAACCTGACCTCAAACCTGACATCAAACCCGACCTCAAACCTGACCTCAAACCTGACCTCAAACCTGACCTCAAACCTGATCCCAAACCTGACGTCAAACCTGAGCTCAAACCTGAGCTCAAACCTGACGTCAAACCTGACCTCAAACCTGACTTCAAACCTGACGTCAAACCTTACCTCAAACCTGACCTCAAACCCGGCCTCAAACCTGACGTCAAACCTTACCTCAAACCTGACGTCAAACCTGACCTCAAACCTGACCTCAAACCTGACCTCAAACCTGAACGCAAACCTGACCTCAAACCTGAACGCAAACCTGACCTCAAACCTGACGTCAAACCTGCCCTCAAATCTGCCCTCAAACCTGGCGTCAAACCTGACCTCAAACCTGATGTCAAACCTGACCTCAAACCTGACGTCAAACCTGGCCTCAAACCTGAACTCAAACCTGACCTCAAACCTGACCTTAAACCTGACCTCAAACCTGACGTCAAACCTGACCTCAAACCTGACGTCAAACCTGACCTCGAACCTGACGTCAAACCTGACCTCAAACCTGACCTCAAACCTGACCTCAAACCTGACCTCAAACCTGACCTCAAACCTGACGTCAAACCTGACCTCCAACCTGATGCAAACCTGACGTCAAACCTGACCTCAAACCTAACCTCAAACCTCACCTCAAACCTCACCTCAAACCTGACGTCAAACCTGAACTCAAAAACCTGACCTCAAACCTGACCTCAAACCTGACGTCAATTTTGGCCTCAAACCTGAACTCAAACCTGACCTCAAACCTGACGTCAACCTGACCTCAAACCTTACCTCAAACCTGACCTCAAACCTGACGTCAAACCTGACGTCAAACCTGACCTCGAACCTGACGTCAAACCTGACGTCAAACCTTACCTCAAACCTGACGTCAAACGTGACCTCCAACCTGACGTCAAACCTGACCTCAAACCTGACGTCCAACCTTACCTCAAACCTGACGTCAAACCTGACCTCCAACCTGACGTCAAACCTGACCTCAAACCTGACCTCAAACCTGACGTCAAATCTGGCCTCAAACCTGAACTCAAACCTGACCTCAAACCTGACGTCAAACCTGCCGTCAAACCTGCCGTCAAACCTGGCGTCAAACCTGACCTCAAACCTGACGTCAAACCTGACCTCAAACTTGACCTCAAACCTGGCGTCAAACCTGACCTCAAACCTGGCGTCAAACCTGACCTCAAACCTGACGTCAAACCAGACTTCAAACCTTACCTCAAACCTTACCTCAAACCTGACCTCAAACCCGGCCTCAAACCTGACCTCAAACCTGACGTCAAACCTGACGTCAAACCTGACCTCAAACCTGACGTCAAACCTGACGTCAAACCTTACCTCAAACCTGACGTCAACCCTGAACTCAAACCTGACCTCAAACCTGACGTCAAACCTGACCTCAAACCTGACCCCAAACCTGACGTCAAACCTGACCTCAAACCCGACCTCAAACCTGACGTCAAACCTGACCTCAAACCTGACCTCAAACCTGACGTCAAACCTGACGTCAAACCTGACCTCAAACCTGACCTCAAACCTGACGTCAAACCTGACCTCAAACCTGACGTCAAACCTGACCTCAAACCTGACGTCAAACCTGACCTCAAACCTGACCTCAAACCTGACCTCAAACCTAACCTCAAACCTCACCTCAAACCTGACCTCAAACCTGACCTCAAACCTGACCTCAAACCTGAACGCAAACCTGACCTCAAACCTGACGTCAAACCTGCCCTCAAACCTGCCCTCAAACCTGGCGTCAAACCTGACCTCAAACCTGACGTCAAACCTGACCTCAAACCTGACGTCAAACCTGACCTCCAACCTGACGTCAAACCTGACCTCAAACCTGACCTCAAACCTGACCTCGAACTTGACCTCAATCCTGACGTCAAACCTTACCTCAAACGTGACCTCAAACCTGGCCTCAAACCTGACGTCAAACCTGACCTCAATCCTGACGTCAAACCTGACGTCAAACCTGACCTCCAACCTGACCTCAAACCGGACGTCAAACCTGAAATCAAACCTGGCCTCAAAACTAGCCCCGCCTGTTTTCTCTCCCGTATCTGTACCCATTTTTCCCCCCCGCGTTCCGCCCCTTATGCACCCTCCCCCCTCGCGTCCTCTATCCCATGCTGTGATTCGAATTTTATGCCCTCTATCTCACTGCCTTGTCTTCCCTCCCTCTTCCTCACAGTCCCTCCCCCCTTATATTCGTGCTGTCCCCTCCCCCACGTGCCCTCCCCCGTACAGCACGGTGTACGAGCAGCTGGGGCGGGTGGGGGACGTGGAGGAGCAGATGGAGTGCCGGCAGCGGGCGGAGGAGATGGAGCCCAGCATCCGCTTCTGCCGCTACAAGATGGGCGCCCACGCCCCCAACAGCGACTCCTCCGCTGCCGCCTCCAACCTGCTTGACCTCTCCGCTCACGAGGGTCCTGGGGCCGACCTGCTGCAGTCCAAGCTTGAGGTAATTTTCTAGGAGTCTCAGACATTGCCTCCGCCCCCAATGCCGACTCCTCAGCTGCCCCCCGCACGGCCTCCAACCTGCTCGACCTCTCTGCGCACGAGGGCCCCGGGGCTGACCTGCTGCAGTCCAAGCTCGAGGTGCGGTGGGCAGTGGCGTTGGGAGGACGTGCAAGGTTGTTGACTCTTTCACCTCTTTGACATGGTCATTTTTTTTCTGATCCACGTATCGTTGCTGATTGACCCTTGTCTTTCCGGTTGCCTTTGCACTCTCTTTTGTCATCGCCCCCCTTCTCCCCCCCCCCTCCCCCCTCTTCCTTCACACCGCCACCCCCACCCACCTGTTGCACTGGTCCGCTCCGCGGCACACTCACGTTCCCCCTCAACCGCTCACACGCACAGGCGGTGATGGAAGAGGCGCGGTCACGCGAGGCAGCCAACCTGGCGGAGCTGGACTGGCTGGGGCGCAAGTACTCCGTGCTCAACGCCAAGACGCGTGTTTGCATCCTCAAAGGTGGGCTTCTAGCGAAAAAGGGGGGCACGGGGGTAGTGGTGAAGGTGAGGTGGGTGGGTGGAGGAGTGGGAGGGGGGGGGTGGGGAAATGGTTGGTTCAGCTGACCTCTGGACCCCTTGTGTCATATTTACCCCTGCTGACCTGTTGACTCCTGCTGACCCGTTGACCCCTGCTGACCTGTTGACTCCTGCGGATGATGACTCATTGACCCCAACAGCACAGCAGCTGGAGGCTGAGGTGGCATCTGCTGACGTGGCAAACGACCGTCGGCTGAACCTGTACGACAAGATCTTTGTGGCGTACCACGATGCTAAGCGGCTCATCCGAGATGACATGGTACGGGCCATTGATACAAGATCAGGCATGGTATGAGCCGTTGACTTGACACAAGGTGGGGAATGGTATGAGCCGTTGACTTGACACGAGATGGGGCATGGTATGATATGGGCCGTTTACTTGCCAGAATGGGGCATGGTATGATATGGGCCGTTTACTTGCCAAAATGGGTGTCACCGAATATAATGGTAAGTGCATCATATTCTGGACATACGCTAATTGAGGTGTAGAAGTGCTGTAGCAATTGCTATTCAACCTATAGGGGAGGTAGTTGGGTGTTTGGAGAAGCGAAGGGTTGGTAGCATTGGGGGTTGCAGGGCGCTGCGGGTGCAATTCCAGGGACATTGGGAGACAGGAAATCTGGTGAGGGCCAATCCAAGGCCCAGGCGGCTCGGGCCCAACCCATCACGCAGAGAACTGTGCGACTGGGAAGCCAGGCACAAGTAGCCTAGCTGAGCAAAGCAATCTTGTTCTCTCGACTTGTTTGCCTCATATAGTGGATAACGTTACCGCAACAAGGCTACTCTAGCTAGGTGACTACGCCACTGTGGGCAGCCATCGTGTGGGAGAGTGAACATCTCACAAGTCGAGAGAACAGGGCCGGCGATATGGATCGCCATGAGCTGCGCATGCAGCAAATGTTTTCGCGGCGGGAACGCTCTCCGTCGCGAGGGAGGCGCTTGCAGGAGCGCGGGAGGTCGCCGACGCGCTCGCCACGACGGGCGGCGTATCGCGCAGATCTGGTTACGCCCGTGGGCGTGCGTGCTGGAGGATGCGGAGCGGATCTGTACATCAGATCGGAGCCGGGAAGGCAGCCCGCAGCCAGCGATCCGTGGGATCTGGCAGGAGGCCAGCACGGAGTGGATGACGACGTGGACATGGACGCGCCAAGCGTTGACGGCAAAGAGGAAGATTCCCCTGCTGCGTGGGGAGGCGGGAGGCGCGCTGGCGCCGACGGAGACGATTCCCCTGCTGCGCGGGGAGGCGGGAGGCGCGCTGGCGCCGACGGAGACTATTCCCCTGCTGCGCGGGGAGGCGGGAGGCGCGCTGGCGCCAACGGAGACGATTCCCCTGCTGCGCGGGGAGGCGGGAGGCGCGCTGGCGCCGACGGAGACGATTCCCCTGTTGCGCGGGGAGGCGGGAGGCGCGCTGGCGCCGACGGAGACGATTCCCCTGCTGCGCGGGGAGGCGGGAGGCGCGCTGGCGCCGATGGAGGCGATTCCCCTGCTGCGCGGGGAGGCGGGAGGCGCGCTGGCGCCGACGGAGACGATTCCCCTCCTGCGCAGGGAGGCGGGAGGCGCGCTGGCGCCGACGGAGACGATTCCCCTCCTGCGTGGGGAGGCGGGAGGCGCGCTGGCGCCGACGGAGACGATTCCCCTGCTGCGCGGGGAGGCGGGAGGCGCGCTGGCGCCGACGGAGACGATTCCCCTGCTGCGCGGGGAGGCGGGAGGCGCGCTGGCGCCGACTGAGACGATTCCCCTATTGCGCGGGGAGGCGAGAGGCGCGCTGGCGCCGACGGAGGCGATTCCCCTGCTGCGCGGGGAGGCGGGAGGCGCGCTGGCGCCGACGGAGACGATTCCCCTGCTGCGCGGGGAGGCGGGAGGCGCGCTGGCGCCGACGGAGACGATTCCCCTGCTGCGCGGGGAGGCGGGAGGCGCGCTGGCGCCGACGGAGACGATTCCCCTGCTGCGCGGGGAGGCGGGAGGCGCGCTGGCGCCGACGGAGACGATTCCCCTGCTGCGCGGGGAGGCGGGAGGCGCGCTGGCGCCGACGGAGACGATTCCCCTGCTGCGCGGGGAGGCGGGAGGCGCGCTGGCGCCGACGGAGGCGATTCCCCTGCTGCGCGGGGAGGCGGGAGGCGCGCTGGCGCCGACGGAGGCGATTCCCCTGCTGCGCGGGGAGGCGGGAGGCGCGCTGGCGCCGACGAAGGCGATTCCCCTGCTGCGCGGGGAGGCGGGAGGCGCGCTGGCGCCGACGGAGGCGATTCCCCTGCTGCGCGGGGAGGCGGGAGGCGCGCTGGCGCCGACGGAGACGATTCCCCTGTTGCGCGGGGAGGCGGGAGGCGCGCTGGCGCCGACGGAGGCGATTCCCCTGCTGCGCGGGGAGGCGGGAGGCGCGCTGGCGCCGACGGAGACGATTCCCCTGCTGCGCGGGGAGGCGGGAGGCGCGCTGGCGCCGACGGAGACGATTCCCCTGCTGCGCGGGGAGGCAGGAGGCGCGCCGGCGCCGACGGAGACGATTCCCCTGCTGCGCGGGGAGGCGGGAGGCGCGCTGGCGCCGATGGAGGCGATTCCCCTGCTGCGCGGGGAGGCGGGAGGCGCGCTGGCGCCGACGGAGACGATTCCCCTCCTGCGCAGGGAGGCGGGAGGCGCGCTGGCGCCGACGGAGACGATTCCCCTGCTGCGTGGGGAGGCGGGAGGCGCGCTGGCGCTGACGGAGACGATTCCCCTGCTGCGCGGGGAGGCGGGAGGCGCGCTGGCGCCGACGGAGACGATTCCCCTGTTGCGCGGGGAGGCGGGAGGCGCGCTGGCGCCGACGGAGGCGATTCCCCTGCTGCGCGGGGAGGCGGGAGGCGCGCTGGCGCCGACGGAGACGATTCCCCTGCTGCGCGGGGAGGCGGGAGGCGCACTGGCGCCGACGGAGACGATTCCCCTGCTGCGCGGGGAGGCGGGAGGCGCGCTGGCGCCGACGGAGACGATTCCCCTGCTGCGCGGGGAGGCGGGAGGCGCGCTGGCGCCGACGGAGACGATTCCCCTGCTGCGCGGGGAGGCGGGAGGCGCGCTGGCGCCGACGGAGACGATTCCCCTGCTGCGCGGGGAGGCGGGAGGCGCGCTGGCGCCGACGGAGACGATTCCCCTGCTGCGCGGGGAGGCGGGAGGCGCGCTGGCGCCGACGGAGGCGATTCCCCTGCTGCGCGGGGAGGACAGAGACACGCACTTGTTACCACTGTGGGCAGCCGGGGCACATAAGGATGCACTGCAGGAACTGCGATGTATGTGGGAAGCCAGGGCACCGCCGAAGGGACTGCCCGGAGGCATCGACATGTAAAGAGTGCGGGGAAAGGGGGCATGAGGCAAGGGACTGCGATAAAGGGACAGGCGAAAGGAAAGGGTCAGCAGAGGAGATCGAGAGCCAGATAAGGCAGTTGCGGGCGCAGTTGCAGGCCCTGGGAGGGAGTAAGGAGAAGGAGGCTGGGTTGTACGTGAGGGAAGAAGGAGCAGAAGAGGAGGAGGGGCAGGAGCCAGAGTACACATGCCTGGCGTTACGTAGCCATGAGGAACTGGGTCTGCGCAGTGGGGGCAGAGACGGAAGGAAATGGCGGGCGCTCAGAGAAAGAACAGAGAGGCAGGTGGGGTTGTATGTAAGGGAGGAAGAGGAGGAAGAGGAAAAGGAGCAGGAGCCAGAATATTCCTGTGCGGAGCTTCGTAGCAGTGAAGTCATGGGGCTGCGCAGTGGGGGCAGGGACGGAGGAAGGGAGCAAGCAACGAAGGTGAGGGCATGGGCAGTGGCAGAAGAGGAGGAGAAGGATGAGAAGGTGAGGGAATGGGCAGTGGCAGAAGGGGAAGAGAAGGACGAGAAGGAGAAGGCGGGAGGGTGTGAATTTGTAGCAGCAGACACTGAAGGGAAGAATGAGAAGGTGAGGGAATGGGCAGCCACAGAAGGGCAAGGGAAGAATGAGAGGGAGGGGACCTGGGCGTGTGTACCAGCAGCCGCGGAAGCAGAAGAGAAGGACGAGCAGGTGGGGGCAGGAGTGAGCGAACTTGCAGCAGGAGAAGTAGAAGAGAGGGACGTAGAGGCGGGGGCAAGGCCGTGTGTACCAGCGACAGCAGATGCGGAAGGGAAGGGCGTGAAGGAGGGAGCGGTGAAGAAAGGAGGGAAGAAGGAGCTGAGCAGTACAGACACGGGAGGGAGTGGTTGGCAGCCAGCGCTAAGGACAGCGGAGTTGTTCGGGGAAATCAGGGCAGGGGCAAAGACTGGCGTGACAATGAAGGATCGGATGCAAGCAGAGGAGCAGGCGCAGGGAAACAAGCTGGTGGAGCAGCATGTGAGGAAGCTGCGGGGAGGAAGGCCAGAGCTGCTGGGGGGAGCAGAGCAGGAGAGTGAGGAAGTGGGGGCAGGGGAGCCCCTAGCAACAGGGGAAAAGGCAGACCATACAATGGAAGAAGCGGAGAACCGGGCGGCATGGGAGCGAGCTAAGGCAGCGGAACACTTGGAGGAGGTGATACCGGTATCGGTGGGGGACCTACATACCGTGCAGTTGAGGGATGCGTGCAGCTGTGAGCAGTGGCAGCAGCAGGAAGGCAAGGGGATAAGGGCGGCTATAGAGGTGGGACAGGAAGAGAGGGGCAAAGAAGGATACACTAGATGTGGACTAGGGAAGAGTGAAGGGGAGGGCGCAAGCAGTGCGAGGCATGGGAGTGCTAGTGCTGGAGAAGGAGAAGGGAGAACAGACTGTGGACCACCAGACCCGCACGGCAGGACTGAAGAGCAGCCGTCCTCAGCTGAGAGTCCTGTGACTCGCGCCCGAGCAGCTCGAGCACGAGCACAGGAGGGGGCAGGTAGTGGCTGAGAATGCAGAAGGGAACAAGGGAACAGGAGTGGGGACAGCACAAGGTGGGGAAAGGCGAGAATAAGAAGGAAGGAAAGAAGGTGAGGACACAAGGCAGGGAAGAGGCAAGGGCAAGAGACGAGTAAGGAGAGGGGAGTAACTCCAACATGGGGCATGGTATGATATGGGCCGTTTACTTGCCAGAATGGGGCATGGTATGCCTGCCTTCTTTGTATTATTCAGAAGCAGCAGATTACCTTTGGTGCTAAATATTTACGTGGTTCCAGAGTCCTAAGTGGCAGAAAGTCATGCATCCACCCCCGACCTTCCTGCCCTTTCTCTCCTGCCCGTTCTCCCCATCCTCTCCCCTTTCCCAGGTGGCAGCCGGCGGAGCGGAGGACGTGAAGGAGCAGCTGGCGGCGCTGGAAAGGGCGGTGTCTTGCCTGGTGCTGCAGCGCACCATTGACCGCAACCTCTTGCTCGTTGCCGGCGCCAAGGCCCGGCTTGAGAGGCAGCAGCAGCAGCAAGGGGGCGCGCAGGGGGGGCAGCAGGGGCAGGGCAAGGGGGCGGGCGGAGGAGGTGAGGGGAAGAAGGGGAAGCGGGAGAAGGGGCGGGAGGAGAAGGAGCGGGAGAAGCCTGCGAGGCCAGAAGACCTTATACGGCTCTATGACACCCTGCTGCAGGTGTGTGGGGGTGGGTGTTGGTGACAGTGCTGTGCGGTTCTGTGTGTGTATGCAGAGCTGAGTGCTTACAAACCTACCTGCCTAACTGACTAGGAGTTTAGCAGTCTTGAATATAGTTAGTCTGCTTACAAAAACCTATCTCGTGTTGCGTCCACTACAAGGCAATGCCCATCGCATCACTCTGATTTCCCAAGGCATGGCCCAAGGCATGGCCCATCTCAACCCCCAAGGCATGGCCCATCTCAACCCCCAAGGCATGGCCCATCTCAACCCCCAAGGCATGGCCCATCTCAACCCCCAAGGCATGGCCCATCTCAACCCCCAAGGCATGGCCCATCTCAACCCCCAAGGCATGGCCCATCTCAACCCCCAAGGCATGGCCCATCTCAACCCCCCTTCGCTGGATGCATCTGTGCGGTGCCCTCTGTGTATGGCATGACGTGGGATTCTCTCACCAAGTGCAGAACGCATCAGACCTGGGGGACCTGGCAGCATCGGGCAGAGACGCCCGTGCGGAGGAGAAGGCACTGCAAGCACAGCTCGAGGCCAACAAAGCCTGCTACCAGGCCTGCAGGTATGGAATGGCTACTATCAAGCCTGCAGGTATGGGATGTTTGCTACCAGACCTGCAGGTATGTGGATGGTTGCCACCAGGCCTGCAGGTATGGGATGGCTGCTATGTGGCCTGCATCTAGGGGATGGCTAATACCGTTCCTGCAAGTACGGCCTCATCTCTTTCTTTCACCCCTCAAACCCATCCTTGTCTCTAATTCTCCTTTCCAATCCATCTTCTTTCTTCCGTTGTCTGCTCACGCTCTCTCCTCCCTCTCTGCATCCCCTCTTCCCTCTTTTCCCCCTTTATTCCCCGGTATTCCGCCCCTGCCACCCCAGGGCGTTCTACGTGGCGCTGGCGTACCAGGCAGCAGGCAAGGACGCGGAGGCCTATGTGGTGTTTGGCAGGGCGGCAGCAGATGCAGAGCAGGCTGCCAAGGGACTTCAGCAGCTGCAGGAGGGGTCGGGAGCACAGGGAGGGAAAGGCAAGAGCAAGGGCAAGGGCAAAGATAAGGTGCGATAGTGTGGAGTTACTATGCTGGGTAGCTTTTCCTCTGGTCTATGTCAGCATCAAGAATGCCCACACCAGCTTGGTGTTTGTCACCACTCGGCATGCCGTGTGCCCCCCGCCTCACCCCATCCTTGCACCCGTGCACGCATTCATCCACACATGCACACACGCACGCATCCATGCACCCATGCATGCAGGCATCAGAGCACACGGCAGAGGAGAGGGAGGTGGAGGAGGTGGTGGTGCGCAGCAAGGCGCAGCGGTGTGCAATCCATGCGCGCGCCACTCTCGACGCCATCAGGGCCAAGGACCCCTCCGCCCTTGAGAAGGGCGTGGCTGAGCTCTCCCTGCGCGCCAAGGACAAGGTCCATGCCTGGCTGTGTGTCTCTTGTTGATTAGGCTCATCCCAAAGTTTTCCTATCGGCTACTATCCAACCTTCTTGTTCTACTGCTCAGATTTTTGTTCGTGTTTTGTGCCGTGATGTGTCCAGCAGCAGGTAGATGCCAAATACATGACTGAGAACCTGAACGAGTTCGTGAGTGCAGTCACCGTGGACTCTACTCCAGGCTCCAAGCTCGTTCCCCACATTGCGCGAGTGCCACCACCCTTCCAAGCAGTGCCGTGCCGGCCCATTGTTCTCGACACCGCTCTCAATGCGATTAATTTCCCGGATCTTGCGGGCCGGGCCAAGAAGGAAGGCAAGAAGGCAGGCGGTCTCTTTAGCTCTTTCTGGGGTGGTAGCCGATCATAATATATATGGGAAAAAGGATGTGGTTAGACATTAGGGGAAGCAGGTAGGCACCATTAGTAGGTCGCCAGAACCTTGCAGCCAGCTGCAACACTTGATGTGGCTTACTGCGGTTCCACACTGATTCAGGACAGAATGCTTTACACGGATTCTCGTATACTTGGATGGCTGAAACATATTTGGGCTTCCCACTCGAAACAGGGAAACGCAGCTCTCAATAACGAATGTTCTGCTCGAAGCTTCTGTCACACGCCACTGGAGACACGAATTGGAACGTTCATGTTTTTGACACGTGTTATCGGAAGACTGCTCCACGCCGAAATCAGTCCCAATGATGTGGAGAAGGTGCTGCACCCTCATTCGTCGTGCCTACGATTTCTCATTGTAGCCGTCGATTTACAATCGATCCACGAGTGTGGTCAGACTTTGGAAAATGCCGACGCCCAGCCTCGAGGAGCGCCACGAAGGGAAACCGAGATTTGAGCTGGTGTATGCTTTTCTGTTGGTGTGCACCCTCAGATTCTTGCTTTTCCACCTCCTACATAGCTCCTGTTTCTCATTCATCCGCACACCGACACCGTGCAAATCCAAGATCTTGCATTTCTCATTCTTGTGTTTGGCTGCTTAGCACACGCACACATACCAGCGCGGTTGATATCCAAGTAGCGTCTATGGCATCCGCAGTGTCTAGCATCCCATCGGCCCAGGCCGCTGCCGTCACAAATGCCGTGTCCGCATCTTCACGCAAGTCTGCATCAACGAATGCTGTCTCGTTCACATCCACCTTCCTTCACTCGTCAAAGCCGATCACGTCCGTCCGTTCTTGCAAGCCATGCGTTTCTCGCAAGGGAGTTTCCGTACGTGCCATGGTGGCTTCGACCGACGCTGTTTCCTTCTCAGCCAAGGAGATGGAGCGAGTTGCAGCGAAGGAGGCTCTCCTTCTCGCGGTAAGGTCATAAGCCGTCAAATGGTAACTTGCGAGCTTGGGGATCACATGACATGCATGGACAGCTTTATTGGGTTTGAACCTGTATTTTGTTGCAAAGCTCCCGTTCTGAAGGGAAGGGTCTAGGATTTCATGTGTCCGTGCTGCTGCTTCTGTCTGACTTCGTAGCTACTGTATCGTTCGTAACAGGTGAAGGACGCGGGTGGCGCGGAGGCCCTTAGCACAGGCAAAGGCAATGCGGCTGGGAAGATTGAGGTTAGCGAGAAGTTGCTGCAGCTGGAACGACTCAACCCCACTCCACGACCCACTACGTAAGCTTCATTGTTCACAACTGTGAATGTAACAAATATTTTAGACGAACGTACTCGTGCGTAGCTTCACCGTGTCTGGATTCACTGTTCTTACGGCCGCAGGTCGCCTCTTTTGGAAGGCACGTGGGACATCGTGTGGGCAGCCACTCGCAACCCAGGTGTCATCGCCACCCGAGTGCTGCTCAAGTAAGCCTCATGCTACTCTTTGGTCTGTTTGTGTTCCTGAATCCGCTGTTTGCCTCATCAGTTTATGTATCTGGTCCATTTTCACGAGAATGCCACTGGTTATAAAACTTCGTCAATAATCTCATCTCGTTCCCACCTATTGCATTTTGATGCTCCCCTCCTTCCATCCAGGCGGTTTCCCACGCAAGTGGCGTCACTGGAGTCACTGCAAGTGCAGATTTTGGAGGGCTCCACCAAAGTGACGGCTGGCCTGAAGTTCCTCACCGCGGTACGTGTTGGGAGTAGTCGCAGTGTGAAGGGAGCATTGTGTGCAGCGACAATGTGGCTAACATGCGGTTCTGCGGACCAAAATGTACTTTTGGAACAAATTTAGCTGTTTGGAGTATATGCGCTGTATGTTGCCTCTCAGTCTGAGATGGGTGGCCATTATCTCGTAGGCTCGTGCTTGAATGATGGAAGAGTCAAGCGGGCATGATGTGAGGTGGGGCACAATGTGTGCACCCGGACTTCAATCCTTCTTTTTTGTTACTTTGTTTCTTACCAAGTATCCCTCCTCCTTATCGTGTCCCTGCTGCCATCAGGCTGAGACTTCAATCACGGTGACAACTCGTCTTGCCGTCGAAGGCCCTGTCAGGTAAACCTATCAATCTGCCTGACGCATGGTTTCTTACTGGTGCCTGTGGAGCCTTCCCCTCATTCCAGTAATTTAGTTATTGACATCCGGCTGGTACTGCTTGCTGTAACAGAATCAAGGAAGAGTACGCCGAAGCTGTGGTGGCTACCCCTGTGGTGCCGGATGGCAGCGTCCCTTCAGCCCTCAAAGGTGTCTTTGATCAGCTAGCTTCTGCTAGTCAATCACTCCCTGCTGCTCTGAAGGATTCTCTCTCCTCGGGCCTCAAGCTCCCTCTCAGTAAGTGCTTCACCTGCTCCATCTTTTCAGTGGTTGATTACACCAGTGGAGTTGTGGCCCGTGGTGTTGTTCAGTGGTTGATTACACCATCTTTTACCTCCTAGGCATCCAGGTGGAGTGTTTACGAGTTTTTTTCTACTACACACTGCTCCCCTTCCAGATGGCAGATATCAGAGGGAGCTGATTATTTCGTACCTTGATGATGAGATACTGGTAAGAAATTACATTGTTGTGATTCGTGAACATCAGCATTGATTTAATTTTACTGTTTTCTGGGTTTGTCAGCTACCTGCATGGCACGTGCTGCTACTGGATTAAGGCATCTTTGTGTTTTATCTCCTGTACAGGTGGTTCGAGACCAAGCTGGGCTGGCTGATGTGTTGGTGCGAGCCACAAGTGCTACCACCACCCCCCCTCTTGGGGATGACTCTGAAATTGATGAGCCAACTGAATGAGTTAAACAGAAGAAAAGCATATGCCTGTATATGCCACCGCTTGTTTTGTGTTACATGTAAGCCTTAAGTTGTTTAGTTTTCTCTCCAGGGGAATAGAGATGAAAAGTATGGGAACATTAGTGAAAGTAATCGATTTCAGATTGTAAATGAGTGCAAGAATCTGTATTGTTCAATCTGTATAACAAGTGAAAAGAGGACAAGGAAGACAATTTTCAGCATGTGAACACACATTTCAATACTGATTCCGTTGGGAGCACTATCTGGTTGGAGCGGGTATGAAATCTGTTCGGCTCAACGCCTCATTCTCCGTCACGTCCCAACCAAAGAGCGTGCCGACGAAAAGGCTCCGATTTCTGCGAGGCCCCAATTCACTCGCACCCCCAAACGGTTACATCGGGAGATGTGTTCGGGGAGGATTCGCGGAGTGCGCCTCGCCTCCCAGGCCTTTTCCACCCCCATTCTACAGGAAGCCGAAATTGTCCAACCAGCTGTGAGACATTTCTCAAACCATAATCAATCACCCCCCCCGCATCGCGAATCCCCGCTGCCCAGCGGTATTTGCGCGGAGTTCAGCCTTGGAATTTTCGGAGAGCGCGTCTTTGGCCCGTCATGATCGAGAGGCGCTTCATCTCAGTACAAGAGACTTCAGTAGTAGCCGTTCCCAAGCAGACATAGTTTGTACCGTCTTGTCCTGTCAGACTTCATTCATCATTGTTCCAACGAAGACACGCATCCGAGTCGGCGAGCTGTGGCCTTTCTACATTTGTCTCTCACTGGTGATCGCACTGTTCCCTTTTTGGAACGAGTAGTTTAGTAGCTCAGTTATTGCGACATTTGAGGGTAGAAATCACCAAATAAGTAACGATAAGTAAGATAGCTTCAATCTAACGATCGTGTTTTGCGCATCAACTGTGACTGCTTACGTGGTAGGTCATATATACTTCCAAATAGCCACCGCTGGCAGCAGCACCAGCAGCGTCGACCTCTCAGTTCCCAATGGACGATGCGCGCATCAGCATCGTCGCGGGGTTCATCGCAGGTGTCGCAGAGGTCCTCGTGGGGTATCCGTTCGACACGGTGAAGACACGAATGCAGTCGCAGGATCACGCGGAGTCGCCACTGTTTCCAGCTCACCGAGACAGCAACAGCCATGGCTGCTCGGGTCAACACCGAGCGGCTAACAATCAGCATTACAGCTCTCCGTGGAGCTGCGCGGTCGCGACGTACAGAGCCGAAGGAATTGGTGGCTTCTACCGCGGTATTGCGGCTCCGATGCTACAAGTAAGCCCGAAATCGCCATTCATTGTGCTCGTGTCCGTCCGCCTATGCTCGGGCCCTCGTCGCCGGAATGCAGGACTGAATGCAGCTCTGTCAACCCGAATCATCCCTGAGCCAAAATTCTCGTTTGACATGTTTCGATCGTGCAGGAAGCGGTGGGTGTGGCTCTTCTTTTCGGGACGCGTGATTGGCTCCGAACGGCAATAGGTGCTGATATCAGCAGACCAGGGCTATTTATCCTAGCCTGCTCCATCATCGGCCTGTTAGAGTCTCTGATATACTGCCCCCTAGATCATCTAAAGACCCGCATTCAGGTCCGCGGACAACGGCTGAAGCACCAAATACTGCATTCGTCTACCGCTCCCTCTCTTCCGCCTCTGGATTCCTCCACGCATTCGTCTAACAATACGAAGACTCCCTTGACTAGCGCTGGGTCGATAGCAGGGATGGGACACGAAGGAGCATGCGTATCACTCTCGCTAACGCCGGCCACGGCGTACTGCATAGGCGTAGGTCCGGGTCTGTTGGCGTCAAAGGAATCGCACGGGGACTTACCCCCTCTAGGCGTGACCATGGGCGTGGTGATGGAGAAGGACATGCACGGCGAGCTGATGGGTATCTTCAGCGCTGCTCGCAGCGTTATCCGGGCGAGGGGAGTTCTGGGATTGTACCTGGGGTTCGTCCTCCAGGCGTGCAAGGAGATGCTGGGCAACGTCGCCTTGTTCGCCACATATGATGTCGCTCTCGCGCTCTTCAGTGGCACCAGCCTCGTGCCTGGGGGGGGTGCGCATGGAGCACACATGCACGCCGGCCAGTCGTGGATGGCGATCTGGCCTGCAGGAAGCCTTGCGGGGATGGCCTATTATCTGGTAAGCACATGTGAGGAAGGAGGCGAAGAAAATGAGAATGCGTTCAATTCACCAGACTTTTCTTCGCACAAAGAGTTCAAAACATCTCGTGAATGTCCATTTTACCCCTCCCTTCCAGATTGGCTTCCCCTTTGACACGATCAAGACTCGCCTACAGACTGACTCCCTCACGCACTCTCGCTATCGTGGCTCCCTGCACTGCGCGTGGAACGTGCTGCGCCATGAGGCTTCGTTCTCAGAGCTCTATAGAGGTGTCTCTGCTTGCCTCGCTCGAGCCATTCCGGGTTGTGCTGTGCAATTTTTTGTCTTTGAGGCTGCTCACCAGTTCATCACGCAATTGGGTTCTCAAATAGTTCCCAGTATACAGCCTGACAGCAGATTTGGAATAGGTGGCTTCGCCTCTGTTGGAAGTACAATAGGAGTGGACCAGGAGAAGTTGTGGGACTTGCTAGCTGGGTGGAGCTGATAGGGGGTGTTGATGCCTATAGAGGTAGTTTACGTGTTGTGAGATGGCATGTTCAGTGCACCTTGGTGCACCCTTCCTTGCCAGAATTATGTTATGAGAACACCTGCAATTAAATATCAGTACACCGTTCAGGCTTCTTATTATAGAGGACCATCCGGGGAAATTCAGAAGCTTGATATTCTGTCAGCATCAAGTGCACTACTGGAATCTACAATGTACGGATAAAGCAATAGAAGTGACGCAACATGTACGGTACGTTCTAGTGCACCGTTGTATCGCATCATTTTTCAGAGGAAATACCACAACAGTAGGTTCAATTTGCGGGTGCATCTCACTGTATCTCTGTGGTGGTTAGGTCACAAGTGTAAATTTCCTCGGCTGCCCAAAGGAGTCTTTGTTTGCTCGCAGAATTTTACGAGCGGAACCGACAAATGATGGCTGTAAACTTGCAGTCACGCTGGACTGATGACGTGTAGGTCTCCTGCTGGTCAATGACCCTATCTGGGAGCTGTATGCCTAGCTGCTGGCTGACGAGCTTCGTCTTGGCCCTGCAGGTAGACAATCCATGCAAATGGGATTTCTTGCCATCCAGACTATTCGTCTGTCCAGGCTGTCATTTTCATCCATTCTAGGTTCTGCCAGATTGTTCTGGTTCTTGGTGTGCCCCTGCGAGAATGTTCGGCCACAAATTGAAACAGCGGATTGGAAGGGGTGACCAGAGGGGGACCATGACAAATCGTTTTGCAAAACACAGCACGAGGAATGTGAATGCATCCCCCTCTCAGCTTGCTTTTCACACTCAAAACAACCTGAGGCATTTCATCCTCATGTCGTTCAGTGAAATACATCACACCATATGAGGGGTTAACACTGCCCGCATTTTTCGTCACGTGTGGTGATGGTTGGCTCTGGAATGGGATGGAAGCGAAGAGAAACGAACAGAATTGCACTTGCCAAAATTTTACCCGTCTCGATACAATGTGTTTCTGTTCTTTCTTCACTGTACACAAATTCGTTAACCAGCCCATACAGCTGGCCATCCCACCCTCCCCCCCATGTCCCTTCCAGACCCTCCCTCCCACCTTCCCTCCCGCCCGCTTTGCTCGAGGCCTCGTTCAAGCCCAGCTGTCGGCCATGGAAACAGACTTCCATCATCATTCAACGGACGACCTTGGAAACGCCAATGGCTGTTCATCAAGTCATGACGCCTGCCGCTGTAACCTGTTCTCCCTCATCTCTCGCGGCTTGCTGCTTTTTCTGGCTTCTTGCTGAATCTCAGCCTAGCCCCTCAGAGCCAATGACGATCGCTCGTCTTGGTCTGTTACACATGCAACCCTCCCTCGACTTCCCCCTAAACCACGTAAATGTATGCAGAGGATCTGATTCACTGACTGTAATTCAAGCTCAACCTCAAAGTTGGAGGAAACCCTAGCCGACTAACGCCTTTGCAGTTCGCTTTGTGTGCTTTATTGGATGTCAATCCCAAGATCACATATCCCGGTAGATGTGAAATTGTTCTGACGTCTTGTGATTTTCACACACCGTAGTGACTAAAACGACGTTTCAAACGCGAGACGCTTCTTGATAATCCGTCGTTTCATTTCATATTCGAGAAATAGCATGTCGAACTCACTAAAAGGACTTTAGAACCCGCGTTTTGCTATTTCTAGTCGATCTGCTTTGAGTTTAGCGACGTCGACTCCTTGGCTTGGACTGAACTCTAGTTGGAACGTTTGTACGTCAGTATTGCCGGGAGTGAAACAGCAGCAGTAGAATAATGGAGTCCCAAGGCAATGCATCCGGATCGTTCGTACCGTCACATAGCCCCCTTATGCTTCCGCCGTCATCGTCGGCCACAGCCAGCACTTTCGGCTCCGAACGTGTTAATTCCGCGTCTATGGAGGATGGGTTTCGGGGTAGTGGCAGCGGGGGTGACGCCGATGGCGGGGAGGACGAGCCGAGTCCGGCGTCCGGTGGGGCTCAACTCGAACGCGGAGCAGAGCCGGGGATAATAATGCTCGGCGGTCATCGCACGCGACCTAATTGGACTCCTCAGGTTGTGTTTCGTAGCCAGCTTGACTGCAGAAATTTCCGTCATGCCGTTCTTACGTGTACTCATGTCGGTCACAAACCTGATCCATGAGGGTGAGCTGAATATATGTCATTTCTTCCCTGTTAACAGGAAGATTTAATTCTTCTACAGCACGTGGCGAAGCATGGGACCCGCAACTGGGGGTCGCTTCAGATCGGCGGTTTGCTGCCGATTCGCGATCAGAAGGCCTGCTGCAACCGATTTATCCTTCTGAAAAAGTGAGACGATTAATTTCATGTAGTGTTTGCCTTCTCGAAGTTGATGCAAGGGACCTGCGAAGTTTGGGTGAAGAGTAGAAAAGTCATTTCAGTAGTAGCTTTTGAAGTACACCCACGAATCTCTCGAGGAGTTGCGTTTATCGCGGACAACATTATCCATTTCCCAGATTTCCAACCCTCGCAGCTTATCCTTATCTTTTTGCGTGTGCTTTTGCTCTCCTCAATCCGCGCGCTCCAGGCGTTGCATCAAGGACAAGCGCAGTCTGTCGCAGCTGTTGCAGCGCGCTAAAGACGCCGTCATTCATGACGCAGCCAGGAATGTCAACGCGGCCGCAGCTGGAGCCGCCGGTTCTTCGTTCGTTTCCGGAGCCGCGCAAGCGTCATCCTTCCACCATGCCGCTTCGGGATCGCCGCATGTCGCGGGTGGGTTCGCCGGATCGTCTTCAGCCCTTCACGCTGCTGCCGCGGCGCTCAACCCCCTTGAGGTGCTGCCGGTACGCCTTTACACGCTGGATCCTAATTTTCTTTTCGTGTCAACCGTCCCTTCCTTTCGTCGTTTTCTTATGCCGTCTTTAACTACCTTCCTGCGATGAAGGCGATCGTCCGTCGTTTCCTTCTTGTGCTATTGATTGCAGAAAGATGGTATTCTTAGTCGTGATGTGCCGGCTCTCACATGGAAAGCTATCGGCTGAACATCACTTGATAAGCATAACTGACGTTTTCCCCTGCGGCCTGTCTTGATTTTTTTTCAGGCTCTAACTTCGCCCAGCATCGGCATCAACAGCCAATCACGGGTCTCCTTCAAAGGGGGTGGCGTCTTAGCTGACATTAGCCGGCCGTTTGTTCCTTCTGTACCGTCAACGTCAGCAGCGACGTCGCTTCCCGAAAATGTCCTCCGTGCGACACTGCTGCGCTCAGCGTTGTCGTCGGCAGCAGTGGGTCCTCCAGACGCCTCCCAGCCACTGCAGCAGCAGCTGTTGCAGCAGCAGTTACTGCAGCAGCACTTGCTACAGCAGCAGCACCAACAGCAACAGCAGCAGCAGCATAGCTTTTCGCAACAGAGCGTGCAGCAGCAGTTGTTACAGCAGCAAGCAGCGCTGCGCCAGCTCGCTATGCAGCAGCAGCAGCAGCAGCGGCTGCAGGAGGCACAATCAGCTGCACTGATGCATCAGAAGCAGCTATTCTCGCAGTCCAGCTTCAACCAGGGATCCTTGCAAGGGCTGGAGGGTCGGCATGAGGCGCAGATGCAAGCGCAGATGCAAGTGCAAGTGCAGATGCAAGCACGAGTGCAAATGCAGGCAGAGACTCGACTGTCCATGTTTCAGGGCCAGGCGAGGGAACAGCAGCAGTCACAACTGCTGTCTGTGCAGCACGCTCAACAGCAGCAGCAGTCTCAACAGCAACAGCAGGCTCAACAGCAGCAGCAGGTTCAGGAGTTTCCTCAGAGTCTTCCGCTGGACGGGTTGCAACTGGATGAGGCGCAACTGGCGTGGCTGAAGCAGGCTCACATAGAGGCCCAGCGGTTCACGCTCTCTCAAGTGCACGCGAACAAAGTGGAAGGCCAGGGGCACGGGGGAGGGCAGCAGGAAGGGCAGCAGGGAGGGCAGCAGGGACAGCAGGGAGGGGGTAATAGTGGTGAGGAGGTGGGCAGGAGAGAGCATGGTGCAGGTCAGCAGAGAAGCGATTGCGCGAACGATGGGAGAGGGGGCGTGGCACAGCAGGAAGTTTCGGGCCTGCCGAGTGTAGATGCACACAAACAGCAGCAGCAGCAGCAGCAGCAGCAGAGTGCGAGCATGTCGATGCAGCTAGCCAACTTGCGGTGAGTGCATGCGCAGCTGAATTCATACGCGTTAAATTCGTTCCACCAACCCTCTCATCCCTCACATTCTCATCCTCTCCTTCCTTCCGTTGCCAGATCGCAAGTGGGGCTTCAGCCCGGGTCGTTGCTCGCCCAAGCACTCAAGCTCTCTCACCAGCCTTCCTTCGCAGCCGTCTCCAATCTCCCGCTCTTCTCTAATTTCCGCTCCGTCACCGCCCCTCACTCCTCCTCTGCACCCGCCACCGAGCCCCATGCATCATCACCCCACGCAGCTACCCTGTCCTCTACGAGCACTGTAGCTGCTGCTGCCGCTGCTGCACCTGCAGGTGCTACAGTGTCAGCTCCCAATTCATCTAGCCCTGCCTGGAGCGAGCCGGCGTTCCCCACTGTGCAGTCGGGGGAGGTGACGGACCGCTTCTCCTCCTTCAGCGATACGCAGTTCGCCTCTGCTGCTGAAATCGGTGCCACCTCATCCACGGCTGCTGCTGGCATGATGGCGGCGGCTGCATCGGTTGGCCTCGATGCTGGTCGCAGTAGTGCTGTTGTTGCTGGTGGCAGCGCTTTTGGTGGTAGTAGTGTTGGTGGTGGCTTGAACAGTACTTTGCCTGGGGGCAATGACAGTGGGAGGGAGGGTGGTTCGTTCACCAATGTTCTTCGGATGTCCTCAGCTGCTTTTCAGCACCAGCAACAGCAGCAGATGCTGCTGCGACAGCAGTGGAGTGGGCAAGCGGGTGGAGGGCAAGAGAATACTGCAGTGAATGCAGAGGCCTCCGTGCATATGTGGAGGCCAAGGGAAGACACGAGTTGGTTCCAGCAGCTGGGGCAGTCAGGAGCACTTGAGAAGCTTGCTGGAGGCATCGGTGGAGAGGGCGGGGAGTCGGAAAAGTCTGCAGCAGCACCGGCTGCAGGAGGGGGAGCAGGAGCAGCAGTAGCGGAAAATCAAGGGTTTGAACGTGGAGGAGGAATGCTATTGCTGGCAGAGCCTGCGACTGGCAATGCAAGGAGGCATGATGTCCAGAGAGAGCATCAGCAGGAGAAGCTTCAGTCTGACGGCATAAGGCATGACCACCCTGTGGATGCAAGCAACCCTCCTCCATTGCAGGAGCAGCAACAAGAGCAGAATGATGGGTGTGGTGGGACTCAGCAAATGGGCCAACGGGTTTCCATGCTGGGGTTGCAGCAATCTCGCAGGTCAGATGCAGTTTTGGAAGCCCTCACATCGGGGTCGCAGTCGTGGGTGGGTCAGGCTGGGCGCTGGGTGGATGAGCATCAAATGCAGTGGAGGATGCAGAAGGCAGGGGAAAATGCAGCTATGGGTGTGGGAATGGGTCAGGCGGAGCAAGAAGCTACACATGCGGATAATCTGGCAGAGGCGGAGATTCTTCGAGCATTACATGCAGAGATGGAGGTGGGTGCTTTTATTTTTCTTTGTTCATTTGTTCCTTGTTTTGGTATATGAAAACTCCGTGTATTCACGCCACTCGGTTCTGATGTTTTGCAGTCCTTGAGCGCTCTAATGGACTCTTCATCGGCACCGACCACTTGAGGACTCTGAGACGCCGGATTGGTTGTATGACGTGTCGTTGGATGTATGTACCATAGATTTGGTGTTGGCATTGCAATTCTTTCTTCTAAGAATTGAAAGTAGCCAATGTTGTGTACATATGCCGGAGCCCATACCTGAGTCTTGCTGCTGTAATCCAATCCCTGTGCTAGGAATTGATTTTTATGGTGATTTTAACCATTTTATAGTACGGAGTACGGTATGACCCTTCATGACTGTTCTGAACACTCGGCATTATCGCGCCTCACTGACACACGAACATCGTATTCGCGCGCTCTGTTCACTTGCTTTTGGACCGATTGCATCCTTCCAAGAGCTTCCTCGATTTCAGACCTGAATTCCTAGGGATTCCCTTGTCAGACGGTGCCAGTTGGCTGGTTTGTAGTAGTTCAATGGTGCTGCTTGTGGCATCGCTTCCGCTTGGCTTGTTGACCCTAGATTCATGGCTCCTCCCGTGACGTCTTGCCGAGAACGTTAGGTCTAGGTCTGTCGCTTACTTGGTGGAGCTGTTAGGAGCATCTTGCGAGTAACAGTAGCTGTGTTGGAGTCTATCGATAACTACGGTTAGATTGGGGGGTATGGACTTCTTTAAAGCGGTACTGTTTCAGGACGATGAGGAGGAAGAGGCAACTCCTGAGACAGAAGAGGTTGAGGGTGACAAAAACGAAGGCGAAGGCGACAAGCCCTCAGAAGGAACTGCTGAAGAGGTGCGTAGATTCTTTCCTTGTCTCCGTTTCTTGATTTTCGATATGCTCGCACATTAAGGCTGAGACGTCGGTACTATTTAGCACCGTAGAAAAACGCATCTAGCGTTGTTGTTTTAACGATTTTCGAGTATATTTTCACGTTTCCAGGGCGAGATTGAAGAGGAGGAGGAGACAGAGGAAGAGCAGCCTTCAGCCTTGTGAGTACCCAGCTATCTTGCTTGGTCCGAGCGGGATGCTCTTACGGAAAAGCACTTAGTAGCACAGCTTTGCCGCCATTGTCGTTTTCCTTTGTGTGCAACGTTAGTTTGCCGCGTATTTGACGCCCTATGTTGCATTGACACGTGTCGTCCCCACATGCCATCCACTCATCAGCGGTACCTGGAATCTCGGCAGTCTGCTACAAACAATCGCCACCAAAGTAAGAAATTCTCTACTGCGCTTCTTTCCCCAGCTTTGTCTGACTCGAAATTCTCCTGCTTCCGTTTGCTCATCACGCCGTTTGGCCTTTGCTTACCTGAGGGAGATTCTTCTGCATGCATAATTGCTCCTCGTCATGACTGTGTGTGCTGTCTTTCTGCTCGTCCTTCCAAACCGCGACTCTGCAACCCGTGACTACTGTGACTGCTGTACCTGCTGTGTCTGCTGTGCCTGCCATGCGTGCCATGCGTGCCATGCCTACCATGCCTGCCATGCGTGCCATGCCTGCCATGCGTCCTGTGCCCGCCATGCCTGCCGTGTGTGCAATGTGTGCTACATGTGAGAGCAGTCAGAGGAGGTGTTGCGCGAGTACAAGCAGGAGCTGCAGGAGTTCGGCGAGGGGCTCAAGAAGGAGACGGAGGAGCTGGTGGAAACCACCGCCACCACCGTCAGCGACCTGCCTTCCTCACTCGAGTCCGGCGCCCAAGCGGCTCAGGTGAGACCTGCTATGCCGTGCCTGCCCCTGTGGTGTCCTCCTTTGTGGTCCGACAAGATTTCGCTTTTTGAGCATTTCCAGCCTGTTCCCTTGTCATTGTTCCGTCCACGCTGCATCCCTCCCTCCCTCCCTCCTTCCCTCTCTCCCTCCCTCCCTCCCTCCCTCCCTCCCTCCCTCCCTCCCTCCCTCCCTCCCTCCCTCCCTCCCTCCCTCCTTCCCTCCCTCCCTCCCTCCTTCCCTCCCTCCCTCCCTCCCTCCCTCCTTCCCTCCCTCCCTCCCTCCCTCCCTCCTTCCCCCCCTCCCTCCTTCCCTCCCTCCCTCCCTCCCTCCTTCCCTCCCTCCCTCCCTCCTTCCCTCCCTCCCTCCCTCCCTCCCTCCTTCCCTCCCTCCCTCCCTCCTTCCCTCCCTCCCTCCCTCCTTCCCTCCCTCCCTCCTTCCCTCCCTCCCTCCCTCCCTCCCTCCCTCCCTCCCTCCCTCCTTCCCTCCCTCCCTCCCTCCCTCCCTCCATCCCTCCTCCCTCCCTCCCTCCCTCCCTCCCTCCCTCCCTCCCTCCCTCCCTCCCTCCCTCCCTCCCTCCCTCCCTCCCTCCCTCCCTCCCTCCCTCCCTCCCTCCCTCCCGCCCGCCCGCCCTCCCTTCCCTCGCTTCCTGGCTATCTCCTTCTTCCTTCCTCTCTCCCTCCCTCCCTCCTTCCTTTCTTCCTTCCCTCCTCTTCCCATCCCTCCTCCTTCCCTCATCGTTCTCCCCCTCCCGTTTTCCATCCTCATTGACCCCCTATTTCCCTCCTCCCCTTCCCTCGTGTTTATTACGTGCATCCCTCCTCAATGCCTTATAGAGTTCGTTGGAGGGCGTGGGCCACACAATTGAGGAGTTCGGCTCGTCTTTATGGAAAGGGTGAGTTCAACGCTGAAGAATGCGCATAAAGATGACGTGCCCTGGAAGGGACACGTGGCAGCAATCCTATGGAAGAGAGAGACAGTGTGGAGTAAAGTCCACCCATGTCCTCCATCTCTCTTGCCTTAACACCAACAACCCGCTCGCCTCTTCACAGTCCCTCTCACCGTCTGCCGCCTGCCTCGCACCACCCCCTTGCCGCTCAATCACTCCCACCCCCCTCTCTCTCATTGTGCGGAGCAGCACAACGGAGATCCTGGCATCAGTGAAGGAGGCAGTGGCGATGGTGGAGGAGGAGGTGGCTGCCAACGCTGCTGGCGCCCGCCCCCGCGCGCCTTCCGCTGCTGCTGGGCTCGCCTCCGCCATCCCCAGAGGGTGAGAGCACGGGGGAAAGGGAAATGTGGGGAAGAGTGGGAGGGAGGGGGGGGGGATGTGAGGGGGGTGAAATTCGGGAAGGGAGTGAGGTAGAGGGGGGAGAAGTCTACGTGAAAGTAAGAATGTGCTCGTTGGATTGACTACCTTGATGGGCGCAGCGCTCCCTTGTTTTGCTGCTTTCTGCCTGCCAGTTGCATCAGCCCGCAGACTTGTATTCTCATGATGTCACCTCTCCTCACTCTACCCACTTGCCCGTGTGCATGGCAACTGGTCTTCGTCCTTCCGTTGCGTTCTGTATGGCCAATGGAAGCAGCAAGTACAGCCGCTACGAAGCACTTGTGAGCACTCAGCTGCACCCTTCAACTCTCTTGGCTCGGAATTAATCTATTCTCACCTGCCCTTTGCTAACCATACTCTGTGCCTCTTCTCACTGGACCCAGCTCGTCGTCTTGTTTAGTCATCTTCCTCTCCCTCTTCCTCTCCTTGAACCCGCTCACTCTTTTTCAACCATCCACCCCTCTTCGCCCCTCATCATCCCTCTGTGCCGTGCGTGCAGGTGAGCGCCATGCAGAGGGACAGCAGCACGTACTGTGACGAGCCAGAGGACACAGATGACTTTGCCAAGTGGGTCGAATCTTTCGACCTCAAAAACAGGTGTGCATTCACTCACTCACCCACGCACCCAGCTAGCCCTTCATGTGATGTCCTTTTCTCTTTCTGCTCTGCTTCAGCTCACCGTTTAAGTTGTTCTTTTGGGTCTCCATGCCCTCAGAGGCGATGAGCCGTTGAAACAAGGCATGACATTGCAAGTCTTTTGTGTATTGTGTGGTTCTGACGTTTCTGCTGGATGTTCCACGTGTGTGTGTGGGGTGCACCAGGGAGGCGGACGTGGAGGCAGTGCTTAAGGACAATGCATTCATGCAGGAGCTGCAGTCACGCATTGGTGAGTCATGACATTCACTGCATGCCCTACTCACTTGTTCTTCATGTGGCGTCTATCGTGCCTGTAATCTCCCTCTCCCTCTGTCAAATCCCCAGTCCTCCTGCTCCCCCGTATGGCACACGGCAGTGCCGTTGATCGTGGAGCGCGAGACCTTCTGGACGCGCTACTTCTACCGCCTCTACCGCCTGCAACAGGCCGAGGACGCCCGCGCCGACCTTGTCAAGAGTGAGCCTCCTTCGTGCCGCAGCTTGCTCCATGCTTCCAGCACCCCGTGTTATGTAGAACACTTCATCTGGCCTGGCATACCCTCTGTCATGCTTCTTCCGGTGACTCGAGATGCAGGCTGCTCACATATGCTCACTGTCTTGCTCCCCTGCCCTCACGTGGCTGCATGGGCGACGATGTCATAACAGGAGGACCTGAGCTGGGATGTGGACAACGAGCAGCCATTGAATCACCCTCTGCCATGTTCCCACTGTCTTGCTCTCCTGTCCCGCGTTTCTGCAGGGGCGACAACATCAGAGGAGGAGGACCTGAGCTGGGATGTGGACGATGATGCAGATGACGCTCAGAGCAGCCCTGCAGCCGCCCACCATGGCGCTGCGGGTAAAAGTGAAGCTGCTGATGCGGATGCAGCTGCTGCTGCTGGAGTCACTGCGGCTGATGATGCTGGTGCTGGTGCTGCTGCTGCTGTTGATGGCAATGGCCCTGCTGATGCCTCGCCTTCTGATATACCAGAGGAGGCAACGGCAAAGGTCCCAGCGGAGGAAGAAGCAGCTGCTGGTGAGGATGCTACTGCAAGTGCTGGAAGTGAATCAGCTATTAATAAGGATGGTTTATCAGATGATCTCAGATTAGCTACTTCTCTTGAAATAACACGTGCTGTCCTTTGGTTATTGGGCTCATAGTGTTGTGCTTGGCTTCGGTGTGCAGGGATGGAGAAGCGGGCACAGAGGATTGGGGAAGCAAAAGATGCAGGAGCAGGGGAGGGCGAGAAGGAGAGAGATGCATCAAGTCCAGCTGCGACATCGCCGCAACCAGGTGACTAAAGAAACGATCCTGTCCACTCATTCACCCGTGACTCAGCTTGGTAAACTGGCTTATTATCGTGTGGGATCTTTGTGAGGTTGGGGATGCTTCTGAGCGTGGTGTTATCAGGTGCTACCCTACGATGACTTGTACAAACTTATTCTGTAATTTCAATGGTAATCGGCTCCTGTGTGCACGCGTCTGGTAGGGAGTGTGCCTCTATCGGAGGTGAAGGTCCCTCGCCTGGAGGATGCCGGGCTGGAAGACACGGCACTGCCTCTATCCGACATCCAGGTTGGTGTCTCTAGCGTCGCTGGGTGGGCTGTGTTGTTTCTTGCGCGTGCAAGGCCGCCAGGAAGTGTCTGCTGGCAGGCTGCAGCTGATAGTGGAGGTGTTTAATTGGTTCCTCGTGGTTGCGTCGGTGCTGTATGCATGCATGTGCTGTTTGGGGCCGGCCACAACGGGGACAACGATGAATTTGATGCGACAACTGTGCAGGCTGCGTTTGAGATTGCAGCGAGAGAAAGGCCAACGGGTAAGCATGGAGAATCGGGACCTCTTCCTGCACCACAGCTGCTCTCCTGATGCCATTTACTGGTTGCGTCCCATGGGGTGCACAATACAGTGTCACACGGTGGGCATATTTGTGTATTTTTCACATCTCGTCTTTTCCTTGTCTATGTTCCCTGCAGAACCAAGTAATCGCAGCAACAGCAGTGACAGCTCAGCAGGCAGTGAGTGGCAAGTTGTGTCTAAAGATGATGCTTCTAAGGAGGACGGATTGAAGGCATCACAACCCTCTGCTGCTGCTCTTACTACAGCAGCTGAGGCGGCTGCCGCTCCTGCTTCTGACGTGTCAGAACCTGCAGCTCTGGTCTCCCAGCCTGCTGCTGAGCCTACAGTTGCCAGCGGTTCAAATACAACAAGTGCGGACGGCGAAGGGGCGAAGGAAGAAGGAAACGAGAAAAAGAATGAGGCAGAGGCGAGGGGAGGGAAGGGCAAGAAGGAAGGTGGAGTTGAAGAGGAGGATGAGGTAAGCCAGAGATGAGTTGTCTTTGTGGAACATGCATTGAGCAAGGGGGGGTTGTGAGTGGGCACGAAGGATGCATCCTGTGGTTGTTGAAGGTACACACTGGGTTTGTTCATTATATGCCTATCCATGCTGTGTGCGTGCCAATTGGTGAAAATCTTCCTAGTTCCCTTTGGCGCTTTGTGTGGACTTGGCTTGCAGGATTGGGGTGAATGGGAGTGAGGAGCGCAAGGAACCAAGGATTTGTATGAATACATAGTGCTATTGTTTTACTCAACGAAGACGTAGGCTCTTATCTTACGGTATGATTGCTAGTTCTGTTAGAATCTGACCCTGCTGGAATTCTGAGATAATGTGTACGTTATGAATCGAAGCAGTGTACTACGGACGATTTGTATATGCTGGTTCCAGGTGAAACCTCTAATAGAGACGTTGGCTCGGGTGATTGCCTAAATTCTATACCAATCCAGTGCTCCAAGTTTGTGGACGGTTGGGTCTCCCACTTGTGGAAAGAGGTCCTGCCAGATTCGTCGTGAGGTGCATCCGAAGCCAAAAAGCGTTTCGTTTCCAATCTCATGGATTTGCAAGATAGGCTGCCAGTTTTGTCCTTTTCAGCTCCGTGGCGCAACCTCGATCAAGCACGCGTTTTGGAGGGGAATCCTAGGAAGTTTCGAACCGACGTGACACGTTGTTTGCGGCTGTCTGAGTTCGTTGACACATCCACTCTTTAAGTGGTTGGTTTGATGGGATCAGGGTGCACCACATGACCCACTTCAACCTGGATGCATCCATTGTCTTGTTTAAGCTTTTTTTTTTTTTTGTTAGGGCCGAAATGGGGGGCGTGGTGGGGGAAGGGTGGGAGGGGGTAGGGGTGTGCTTCATGGGAGGAGAAGGTGGGGGGGTGGAGGGGCCACACACTATTTTGAAGGACCACAACCTCTTTAATAGAAAAATAACATGTATTTTTAACCGACCATTCCGGATGACGTCATCCCCGACGGTTCTGTGGAGGATTGGATTGCATGTTGACCTGGTGACATGGGCTTGCGTGAGTCCCCTGGTTGACATCTGTCTTTGCGCTCGATGCCTCTCATGCGAGCCGCGATGCAAATGTCCGTTTCAAATCAGCGACACAGGTCAGCGGAGCATCTTCCCCACCCGCTATCCACGTTCGGCCCCTGGCTCCCCTAGACTTTTGCGCCGACACCACACCATCGCGGAGCCATCACCTTCCTCCTCCACCCTCGTGCGCAACCACCGCTGGTTAGAGTTTGCGGGCCAATCACGCGTGCTCTCACCTTTTCGTCGTCGTGTCAGCAACTTTCGCGCCGACCTGTTGGAGATGACTCTCTGAGGTGGGGTTGGGCCAACCAAAGGAAGCTAACCCCTATTGAAACGAGTCCGTGCCCCCCATCGCAGTTTAAAAGCGTGGAACTTCGCACTCAACGCGCGCAACTTCGATACCTGAACGCTCGTCCGAACCAAATCAACATCCACTGGAATCATTTTCCTCGCCAGGCCCGATACTGTCGAACTTACACCCTGGTTTTTCCCGACGCCTCGGACTAACCCAGGATTTTTCTCCATCTTCTCCATCTCGCAGAGTCCAGCCCAACCCCGAACCCTCTTCCCCGCCCCTTCCTCCCCCCTCCTCCTCCCCTCCTTCCCCTCCCCCCGCCTGATCTCCTTCCGCCATCCGTTCATCAGCTTCCATCCCAGACACCCAAATCTTCCTAGCACAAACAAACCTCGAGCTGCTATAACAAACCCGTTCCCCACTTCATTTCATTACCCAGCTTTTTTTGAGAGCGGTTCACCGCTCTTTCCTCCAGCTCTCTCGTAGCTCACCATCTCGCTCGTTACTACCTTCTAGCTTTGCCGAATTAATTCGCAAGGACCGTCTCTTCGACCATGGCAGATACGCGTCAAGTAGGATCGCTCTGGACTCCAGAGGTAGATTTCTATGAATCTGCAGAGTTTCCGAAGCTCATTTTTCCTCGTTAACGTACTTGGTGCTCGTTTCCGCTTGCCAAACTCACTAAAATAAACTCGAATCTGCTATTCGATTTTTGTTTCCGTGCAGGAAGACGTAATTCTTCTGCAGCACGTAGCTCGCTACGGCACCAAGCATTGGGGCTCTCTTCAATCCAGCTCAACCTTGCCTCACCGCGATCAGAAGGCGTGTTGTAACCGATTTATTCTTCTGAAGAGGTAATTTGACCATTAGGATCTTTCCAAATCCGACGATTCGTTCATCCTGTGAGCATAGACGTATCATCAACTCGCGCCGTCGCCCCGCAGGAAATTCTTCCAGGCTCGAGCCAAGGGTCAGAACCTGCAGACCATCTTTCCTTACATCAACGTCAACTCCCAGCCTCAAAGCCCCTCGGCGACGGTGGCCTCGTCGATGCTTCACGCTCCCGCATCCCTCTCTTCCACGGAAATCGCTCTCCGCGTGAACGCCTCGTCTCGCGTAATCTCCAAGCGCGCCGCAGCGCCTTCGCTTTCGAAGCCTGCTGTCCTTCAGTCCGCTCTCACCACGTACGAAAAGAATCTATTCGTTCTTCCTTTTTTCCTTTTTTTTTTTGTCTTTTTTTTTCCAATTTGCGGTGTTTACTTCAGCTCGCTCCCTTCCGCTCGTGATCTGATCGAGGTTTGGTTACATGTGTATTGGTCCACAATTCCGCAGTGTTAAAGATCAAGCCGCAAATGGCGGTGGCTCCGTGTGGATGCCGAACCTCGTCGACGCGCAGCGCTCTCCGGCTGTTTCAGATCCCTCGGCTCCTCTCAGCGCATCTCACGGCGTGCTGTCCGTCCAGCAGCAGCAGCAGCAACTGCAGCAGCTGCTCGTCACGATCGGCCAATCAGCGAACGCCGTGAGCCAAGCCACGATGCAGTTCGTCAACGCCACGTCGTCCGTCAACCCTACTTCGTAAGCACAGGCTCAGTCTTTCAGTCGCTTTCTTGTGCCCTTTCGTATTGGTTCCTGACAAACTCTTCATTCGTATTCTCATGGCAGATTTCCCGCCAGCCACGTCAGCCATCAGCAGGCTCAGTCCGCAGCTTCCAATTCCGGCGCGGGCCAGCAGAGCGCAGCAGACGCGGTGGTGAACATGATTCTGCGCAAACTCGCCGGCGACGCGTCTGGCTTCGCGAAGCATCCAGTCGCCAGCGCAGCGGCGGCCAGCCCCGCTTCGTCCAAATCGGACGTCTCCGTCGAGCCCGCCTCCGCTGCTGCTCCCTCCGCTCCCCTGCTCGACGCCTCGTCCCGCCCCTCGTCCGCCCCCCCTCGCCGTCCGACTCTCCTCTCCGCGCCGGAGCGCGGGCCGTCCGCCGTCGTGCCGTCATCCGCGGGCTCTGTCCCCGCGGACTCCGGCGTGAGTCTGCAGCAGTTGGTGCCGGGATCGTCGGAGGAGACGGAGAGCGACGACGACATGCTGCTGGCGTACCTGTACGCGCAGGGCCACGCGCACGCCACGGTGCCGGAGGTACATGGGAAGGAGACAAGGGCGGACGGCGCAGTGGGGGAGGTCGAGAAGCAACAGGAGCAGCAGGTGCAGCAGGTGCAGAGGCAGGGGGAGGTGATGGCAATGGATGGAGCAGCGGACATGTCGCTGCTGCTGCAGCTGCACGATGAGGTGATGGCTCTCGAGAAGCTCGTTGCTGCTGGCGCGTCCTCCGCGCCCGCTGCTGCTGCTTCGCCTAGCACCGACCTCATCGCAGCCCCTACGTCAGCCCTGGCGCCCCTCCCTCCGCGCGCTGTGAACGCGTCCTTCTCCTGTGCTGCTGCGGCGTCGGTTGCAGCTGTCCCTCTCCCCAGGAGCACCTCCCAGCGCCCTGACGCGTTTCTGGAGCAGATGTCGAGTGCGCCCGCGCGTATGCTGTTTGGGTTCAGCCCTGTGTATGACCTCATGGCGCCTGGCGCTTCCTGGAACGCTCATGCTGCTGCTGCTGGTGCCGCTGCCATACCTGCTGCTGGTGATGCGGCTGGATGGGACTTGAAGGAGCTGATTGATGCGTGGGCGGTCAACCTCGGTGCCTCTGCTGCCTTCTTGGCGTGACATGTGTACAGAGTGGCACCCGCGCACATTCAAAGACTGCAAGTGTTGCCGCGGTGATGGTGGTGTTGCTGGAGGCAGTGGTTTCTTTGCTCTGCCCATTGCACCCAGTGGGGATTCGGCCACCATGTCCTTTGCTCTGCCGGAGCTTTCTTTGCAAGGGCGTCTGCTCTTGTTCCGCTCTTCTGCTCTCTTCGCTTTTGTTTTCCTCTCTTTGATGTCTGCAGTGTCTAGCCTTTTTTGCCAGGGATAGCTGGCAGCTTAAGCAGTGGGGGAGGCAGGTGTTGCGGTGCAGCTTGCTCTGACGGCTTCTCGCCGTTTTTTTGCCGCAGAGGGTGAAGGCCCGCTGTGTGCATGCTGTTGCTGCTCCGTGCCCTGCCTCTCCCTGCTCTGTGTCTGTCAGTTTATGTTCCAGGCTCCTAGGAAGGCACTTTAGGCACTGCCTAGTCTGTGTGTTGCTTGGCAGACTGTATCATGTGTCTCTTGTCTTTTACATTGACTGAACCTTTTGTTTTGAATTCATGAATGTCATCAAGTGAACACTTCACTGGAGTAGCCTAGGCGAACTACATCAGAGAGGAGCATGCAGCTTTGTCCACCTTTGTCCATGTTGCCTCCTTCAGTACTGCGCGTCCTCACAGCAACATGTCATGCAAAGTCCGCGAGAACAGCACATTCCCCCGCTACTGCTGGTGCTCGCAGTGATTTGACGCTTCGTTGCACATTTCCCCCTCGGTTCTTTGTCCTGTCAAATTCTCTTCCATCCATCCTCACACTTCCCCATGACGCCATGGCTTCAGCGTGTCTATCCTCTCGCCGCGTCTTGCCATGCACTGTCGCCCGTACCTCCACCGCACTTCACCGCTATATCCGTTGCCGTCGTCAGATCGCCAATCCTCGTCAAATCGCGAGTCGCAACCGCATATGCCACCAATTCGGAGAATCCAGTAGTGCCAGTCCGAGCAAACTAGGTGCGTGCCTTAGCACTTCCTGGCAGCAATGGGGGGATTCACAGAAAACGTCCCAACAGCTTTTTCCGTCTCCGTCGTCGTCTGTTCCATCCATGATCCTGCCGTCGCTGCTACCACCTCATGTGCGATCGCCCGTACTGGCAGAATATAATCCGACAGGTCCGCTCAGACAAATACGTTGCGAATCGCAGAGCCTGTTCCCTGCTCTCTTCCTAGGTCGTAGCACACGTGGAATTCATATGGCTGACGTCAGCGCGAGATGCTCTGAGCGGCGTTACTCCCGACGCGCTGCTTCTGCTACCACCAGCGCTGGCGCTGATCTGCCGAGAGCCAGTGCTGAAGCGGTGGACGTGGCGAGGGCCGATGCTGATGTGGCGGAACATGACGGTGACGTGGCGAGCGCAGGGAGCACGAGGGAGGCGGCGGTGGCAGCGGGGCGCGGGAAGGGTCTGCTGGCGTTCTACGCGGACCACCACGTGGTGCCCCTACCCGCCGGCCACCGCTTCCCCATGGACAAGTGCGCTCCGCGTCTCGAGTCGCCAGGAATGATGTTCGTTGGAAAGACGTGCTTGTATAGAGGATAATTCGACAACGTGGCAAGCGAGCGAGCGAGCGAGAGAGTGGGAGAGTGTGGCGGGCGGTCAGAGGTCCGGCATGCGTGGTGGTCACTCACGCCCATTCCCTGACTGCCATTCGCCCATCCCTGTGTGATGTGATTGTGCCTGATTGTGCCTGACTGTGCTTTTTTGTGCCTGATTGTGCCTGATTGTGCCTGATTGTGCCTGATTGTGCCTGATTGTGCCTGATTGTGCCTGATTGTGCCTGATTGTGCCTGATTGTGCCTGATTGTGCCTGATTGTGCCTGATTGTGCCTGATTGTGCCTGATTGTGCCTGATTGTGCCTGATTGTGCCTGATTGTGCCTGATTGTGCCTGATTGTGCCTGATTGTGCCTGATTGTGCCTGATTGTGCCTGATTGTGCCTGATTGTGCCTGATTGTGCCTGATTGTGCCTGATTGTGCCTGATTGTGCCTGATTGTGCCTGATTGTGCCTGATTGTGCCTGATTGTGCCTGATTGTGCCTGATTGTGCCTGACTGTGCCTGATTGTGCCTGATTGTGCCTGATTGTGCCTGATTGTGCCTGATTGTGCCTGATTGTGCCTGACTGTGCCTGACTGTGCCTGATTGTGCCTGATTGTGCCTGATTGTGTGTTTGGCAGATACCGCAGCACTCGCCTTCTCCTGCAGTCAGATGCATCTCTAGATCGTATCCTGGCCGTCCATCCTGCACCTCTTGTCTCATGGGTGGAGCTTCAGCAGGTGCATGAGGAGGGGTAGGTGTGTGGGAGGGGTAGGTGTGTGGGAGGGGTAGGTGTGTGGGAGGGGTAGGTGTGTGGGAGGGGTAGGTGTGTGGGAGGGGTAGGTGTGTGGGAGGGGTAGGTGTGTGGGAGGGGTAGGTGTGTGGGAGGGGTAGGTGTGTGGGAGTGGTAGGTGTGTGGGAGGGGTAGGTGTGTGGGAGGGGTAGGTGTGTGGGAGGGGTAGGTGTGTGGGAGGGGTAGGTGTGTGGGAGGGGTAGGTGTGTGGGAGGGGTAGGTGTGTGGGAGGGGTAGGTGTGTGGGAGGGGTAGGTGTGTGGGAGGGGTAGGTGTGTGGGAGGGGTAGGTGTGAGGGAGTGGTAGGTGTGTGGGAGGGGTAGGTGTGTGGGAGGGTAGGTGTGTGGAGGTAGGTGTGTGGGAGGGGTAGGTGTGTGGGAGGGGTAGGTGTGTGGGAGGGGTAGGTGTGTGGGAGGGGTAGGTGTGTGGGAGGGGTAGGTGTCTAGAGGGAGGCAGCGAGTGGGTCATGTGCAGGGAGGAGCGTATGGGCGTGTGTGACTGCCTGTACGTGGGTTGCTAATGCACTCTGTGGCCTCCATCCTCCTCTCTTTTCCCTAACCCCATCTCTGCATCTCCCCCCTCCTTTATCCTCCCAACCACCGTCCCACCCCCCAGCTACTTGACGCGGCTATTCACACACGCGCTCTCAGAGCAGGAGCAGCGAGTGCTGGGCTTCCCCTGGTCGCCGCACCTGCTGCTGCGCTCACAGGCCTCGTGCGGGTATGCAGGCTGTGGCAGTGTGGGGATTCTATGAGGCGATGATCATGTGTGTGTCACTCTCGTGTGGGCCTGGGGAAGTTGGCAATGCCCGTTCCATTCGCCTCCACTCGCCTTCTATCCAGCTTCCTCCACCCATCTGCTTTGAAAAATACCTCTCGCTCTCACAGTGTGACTCAAATTCATCCCAACCACCACCCGCTCGTTCCCTCTTCCCCGCCAGCGGCACTGTAGCAGCCACCCACGCGGTGCTGATGGGGCTCAGGCGGGCGGCGGGGGTGCTGGCGGGCGGCACACACCATGCGTTCCGGGGGCACGGGGAGGGCTTCTGTGAGTGAGTGGGGGTTGTCATGGGGAGGGGATATGGGAGTTGATGATGTTGGGGAGGAGAGTATGGAAGTTGGTCGGTGTGCCTGGTAAGTGAGGGAGGAGGGGGAATGGGAATGCTGGCACCACTCCTTGACTGTCCCACCTTCTATATTCTTCCACCATCCGCCTCTCTCCTCTCCTTTCCCTTATCTATCTCTTTTTCTATACTGCCTCTTCTCTCCCCATTCCTCTCCTTCTCCCCTCTCGTCCGCCCCAATCCCCCTGTCAGGTGTGTTCAACGACATAGCAGTGGCAGCGCTGGCAGCACTCACGCACCACCCCACCGTCTGCAATGCCGACCGGCCCATCCTGGCCCTTGATCTCGACGTGCACCAGGTGCACACCGCCACCTTCAGCAGCAGCATGCACAGCCGTGTGTGTGTGGAGCGCCACACCACTCTCCTCTCTTTCTCTTGCTTCGACGCCCCCCCTCTTCCTCAGTTTCCACCACCGCACTCCCCGTTCCTCCTCGTCCCTCAGTGCCTCTCTCGTTTCGTGACTCATCCTCGTGACCGCCCTTAAGACCCCTCAATGAATCGTCCTGAGGCCTGCCCTCTCGCGCCTGTCTATCCTCTTGCACCACCCTGCCTTTGCACCCCCCCTTGGCAGGGCAACGGCACGGCGAGCATATTCGAGGGCGACCCGCGAGTGGTGACATTCTCAATGCACGGCGCCAACAACTACCCGTGGCGCTCCAAGCGCCGCTCCGACTACGATGTGGAGCTGCCCGACGACACGGGGGATGCTGCTTACCTCTCCCTGCTCGAACAGTGGCTTCCGAAGCTGTTTGAGCACCACCGGCCGAGCCTCGTCATGTTCCAGGTTAGGCAACAGGAACAGGCTTGGTGGATGGGTGGGAGAGTTGTGGCTGGTTATGGTTCATGTATCCGAAGATGAGATTCGTTGCCAGTGGGCTTCACTATGTTGGTTTTTTTTTTTTTTTTTTTTTTGTGCCCTGTGTGTTATGCAGGCAGGGGTGGATGCTCTTAAAGAGGACAGTTTTGGCAGGCTTGCAATGACAAGGGCTGGCATGCTGCGGAGGAACAACATGGTATACAGTGCTTGTATCGACAACCACGTGCCGTTGGTCATCACCATGGGGGGCGGCTATTCACGACCTCCTGATGGTGAAAGTTTTTTTTGCTGCAGGGAGTGGTAGTTTCAGTGCTGATTGGATTGAAATGGTTTCATTTGCTTGACCTTTTGTTTTTTTATTTGTGTGCAGCTTCCATCGCGGCACATGCCGATGTGTATCGGTCAGCTGCATATAGATTCTCTCATTTGTGAAGCCGATTAAACAAGTTAGACGGTAGTTAAGGTAAGCTCAAACGCTAGTAGCCTTTGGCTGAGTTCTTTTAGTTGCATGGTAGCTATTGTGATTCCATGTCAGGGAATATATATTCATGAATTAGATCTTCAACCTGGTGGTGAGCGCTGTAACGCGTCTGGCCTGCACTGTTGGAGGGAACCGAGAACATTCACCGCGTGCCCTTCCTCGTCGCTTCTCGCTGCCCTCGAAGTTCCCAGCGAAGCGTCATCGCCTGGCGCGCGCTGCCAGGCAGGCGGGACGGGAGTGTGGAATTTGCGCCCCCCCTCACCGCCTGTCTGTTGTTGGCCCTGAGCCCACACATTTTGACTTGAACCGCATTTCACGGATTCCACACTCGTCTTTCCGTTTGCTCTTCTTGCCAGCTGCAATCCTCCGCGCTTCGTGCTTGCCTCTGCTCTCGCCTCGTACAACCTCGTCTATATATCGCACTGCGCACCGATGGCTGCTGCTCCGCCTCTTACAGCTAGTCCGAGCAAGGCGGCGTCACCGTGCGCGGGCGGGGAGGTCGCGCCAGCCATCCCAGGCATGACGCTGAGCCCGCATAAGCCGACCTCCGCCGCCGCCGCCGCCACCGCGGAAGGGCCGCTCTCCATCGTCATCTTCGGCGCGTCGGGCGACTTGGCGAAGAAGAAGACGTTCCCCGCGCTCTTTAATCTCTTCCAGCATGTGCGCGCGTAAATAGTGCTTCCGTTTTCGACGCGCTTTCCTCTGCGCCACGCGTTTTTCCGCCGCGTCTCTCCCGCTTTTGGTCGCCTCACGGATTCTTATCTCTCCCACACAACCCACCCCCCCAACCAACCCCCCCCGTTCCCCACACACCTTTTTCCCCCATCTCCTCCCCCGGTCGGCGCAGGGCTTTCTCCCCGCTGGAGAGATCCGCATCTTCGGATACGCGCGCTCGCCGATGACGGCGGAGCAGCTGCGCGAGAAAATCAAGGGGTGAGGGGGATGGTCGAGGAGAATGGTTATATCCACGGGAGGGTAGTTGCTGCTATGTTGCCGCGGTGCGTCCTTGCATGCCACGTGCTCGCGAGACATGCTGTCACAATGCTGGATTTAAGAGTGCCGCGTGCTGCTGTGTGTGTGTCTCACCTCACCTGCTCCCCTCCCCCACAGCTACCTCAAGCCCAAGGGCGACACGGCCCCCGCCCAGGACCCCGTTGCAGATTTCCTCAGCGTGGTGAGTGTCCCAAGCCCTGCACCGCCGTGCAACGCCGTGCAATGCCCTACACCGCCCTACACCGCCCTGCACCGCAGAGTGCCCCAAATTCTGCACCATGCCACGTTGCATGCACCTCCATTTGTGAATCGGTATGGTCCTTCCGCATCCCCGCCGCCTCCTTGCCCCCATCTTTCTCCCCCTCCCGTTAATCTTTCTCTTTCCCCACCCAACCGTCTCCGCTCCTCTCTCCCCTCTTTCTCTCCCCCCCTTGCCGCTGCGTCCCCAGGTGGAGTACATCCACGGCCCCTACGACGGCCGGGACGGCTACGCCAAGCTGCAGGAGGCCATGCTCGCATTCGAAAACACCACCGCTCCCACCGCCACCACCAGCGACAGTACCACTGGCACCACCAGTGACAGCAGCAGCGGGGCGACGAGGCGGCTGTTCTATCTGGCGCTGCCGCCGTCGGTGTACCCGCCGGTGTGCGCGGAGGTGCGGCGGTACTGCATGAACGCACGCGGGTGGACGCGCGTCATCGTGGAGAAGCCGTTTGGGCGCGACCTGGCGAGCGCGGAGGCGCTGAGCGGCGAGCTGGGGGCGCTGTTCAGCGAGGAGCAGATCTACCGCATCGACCACTACCTGGGGAAGGAGGTCGTCCAGAACCTGGTGCGCTCATAGGGGAAGGGGGAGGGGGGAAAGGGGGAAGGGGGGAGGGTTGTGGGGGGCCGAGCTGGGGGCGCTGTTCAGCGAGGAGCAGATCTACCGCATCGACCACTACCTGGGCAAGGAGGTCGTGCATAACCTGGTGCGCTCCATGGGGGGGAGAGGGGGGAAGGGGGTGGAAGGAGGAGGGGGGAAGGGGAGGGATGTGGGGTGGGAGGACGTGGGGTATATGGTTGGATGTGGAAGGGGAGAGAGTGCAGCATGTATTGTGTGCATGCAGCTGCCATGTGCCATTACTTCTTCTCCCAGGCACATGGTTATGTCTTGAGCTGTTCGTCTCTGCCCTTCCCTCTTACGCTTCCCTTGCTCCCTCCTTCCCCTCCCACCAACCAGTTGGTGATGCGCTTTGCCAATCGCTTCTTCGTGCCGCTGTGGAACCGAGAAAATGTCGCCAACGTGCAGGTGGGTGGTGGGTGCACGCACGTGACACGTGGTATGCGTGTCAGCTGTGACTTGTGCGTGCACCTCATTGGCGCCACTCCTCTTCGCTCCCCCCACCACTCGCCCTTGCCTTCACGTTCCACCCTTCCCCACACTCGTTGCTTGCCTTACCACCACCACCTACTTGCCTATCTCCCCCTTGCCACTGCAGATTGTGTTCAGGGAGGACTTTGGCACGGAGGGCCGCGGAGGCTACTTTGACCAGTATGGGTGGGTGTGCCGTCCCCCCCCCCCCTGCCTCTCCTCTGCCCTCTCACTCGCGGCCTCCCACTGCTTCTTGCCATTTTAATTGCTCCTCTCACTGCTTCTTGTCATTGCAGCCCATGTGGTGCTTCTTGTCATTGCAGCCATGTGGTGCTTCTTGTCATTGCAGCCATGTGGTGCTTCTTGTCATTGCAGCCATGTGGTGCTTCTTGTCATTGCAGCCATGTGGTGCTTCTTGTCATTGCAGCCATGTGGTGCTTCTTGTCATTGCAGCCATGTGGTGCTTCTTGTCATTGCAGCCATGTGGTGCTTCTTGTCATTGCAGCCATGTGGTGCTTCTTGTCATTGCAGCCATGTGGTGCTTCTTGTCATTGCAGCCATGTGGTGCTTCTGATATCTGACTCTGCGCTTCTGTCGTTTCCATCCCCTCGCTCCTCCTTCCCCTTGTGCAGCATCATTCGGGACATCATTCAGAACCATCTCATGCAGGTGCGCCGCCCCTCTTGCCCTCTCCATCGCATGCCATTCTCACCTGCCGCCCCTTTTTCCACTCGGGAAGCCAATTTCGGTGCTTCTTCTATCAGCCTTCCTTTACTCCCTTACGATACCAACTCCTCCTGCCCTCTTCCCCCCCTCTTCCCCCTGGTGCTGTGCCTCGTGGCGATGGAGAAGCCGGTGTCGGTACTGCCGGAGGACATTCGTGACGAGAAGGTGAAGGTGCTGCCAGCCTCACTGCATGCAATGCACCCCCTCTCAACCCCTCCCCCCCTCTCGCCACCCAGGTGCTGTGTCTCGTAGCAATGGAGAAGCCGGTGTCAGTGCAGCCAGAGGACATTCGGGACGAGAAGGTGAAGGTGCTGCGAGCCATACAGCCCATCAGGGAGGACGAGGTGGTGCTGGGGCAGTACGACGGCTACACCGATGACCCCACCGTGCCAGATGGCTCCCACACGCCCACCTTCGCGTCGCTTGTGCTGCGCATCAAGAACGAGCGCTGGGATGGTGAGAGGGAGGTTGGGGATGTGTGGTGCGCCGGGATTCCGTGCAGTGCGCACTGTGCACTCTGGCTAGTCCTGTGGGATGTGTGGGCGGACCTTGTACCATTGCCACGTTTGAGCCATGCACTCTCACTTACTGTCTTCCCTCGCCACCAATCCATTACCGCCTATGGGGTGAGCAGGGGTGCCGTTCATAATGAAGGCGGGCAAGGCGTTGGAGTCACGCAAGGCGGAGATCCGAGTGCAGTTCCATGACGTGCCGGGCGACATCTTTGGCTGTGAGCTCGCTTGCACTTGTCCGCATGCTCTTCATTTCGTCCTTATTCTCCACAGCTCGATCAGTGTAGAGTTGTCTTATGCCTCTGTTCCTCCCTGCTCGCGCCTCCCGTCCCTTGCAACGGTGGTGTTGCAGGTGGGCGGAACTCGCGGGACGAGTTTGTGATGCGCCTGCAGCCATCAGAAGCCATGTACATGAAGCTCACGGTGAGTTAACGAACGTGTGAGGGAAGAGGTGTGTGTGAGAGGGGCGGCTGTTTATCACATGATTTTGCTAGGATGGTGCAAATTCAAAGTCTACGATGAGATGGGACTCACAGTATGGTGACTGGTATGGTGTGCTGCACGGTGCATGGCATGGTGTGCTGCATGGTGCATGGCATGGTGGCAGGTGAAGAAGCCGGGGTTGGAGATGGCAGCGACGATGAGTGAGTTGGATCTGAGCTACAGCCAGCGCTACTCAGGAGTGGTCATCCCCGAGGCCTACGAGCGCCTCATCCTCGACAGGTCAGCACACACAGGCCATGCTGCTATCGTTCATGCACTCCTGTGTGGTGTCTACCTGCCGTGTCGTGTCGGCCATCGCACGCTCGTGGTTGGCTGTTTTGCTGAGCCCACCTTCCCGTGTTTGGCATGTGTTTCCCCCTCCCCCATGCATCCCCTTGCAGCATCAATGGCGACCAGCAGCACTTTGTGCGCCGAGACGAGCTCAAGGTATGGCGATCTCAGGGAGGATACTCAGACTCAAATCCTCTTCACTCGTTTAAAAGTTTGGCCTCATTTGCTGTACGTCTGGCAGGAAGGCTGCATAGGTGCACCCTTTGTCCTCGGCCATCCCTCCCACCTCTGTGACCCTCTCCCGTGCCTCCCCTCACAGGCGGCGTGGGAGATCTTCACGCCGCTGCTGCACCGCATCGATCAGGGCGCCCTCCCCCCGCTCCCTTACAAACAAGGCAGCCGGGGCCCCGACCACGCGGACGAGCTGGCGGAGCGCGTGGGGTACCGCCGCACTCAGGGGTACTGCTGGATTCCGCCGACCCTCGCGGAATAGAATGGCGACGAGAATTGCTTCTATGCACTATCCACATTCCAATACAATCATTTTGTAGTCACTGCATGGTAAAAGACATTGATGTAGACCCATGGGTACTTGTGAATTGTCCATGTCCTTTTGCAAAATTGTATTGAGTAAATCTTATACGAGATTACATACATCTGGCAATACATCGGCAACACTTCAACCACATTACGCTTACACAAGACTACGCATTGCAAACCTTGAAGGGTAAGTCGTTGCGAACAGCTTCGCCCAGCCCACGTCTTGAATAAGCACGCGGCCCTGCAGAGATAGGTAACCACGAGGGGTGAGTAATCGAGCAATCACAACCTTTGCAGTACAAACACGGGTGCTACCAACAAGGTCCACAAAGGAAAGACCACGAAGAAGCCGCCATAGCTATCGGAAGGAAATGTCCCGGACGACAGGTCAACAAGAGCACACGGGAAGGGTGCACTAATTGGTTTAAAGCACGGGCTATTCCGATCTCCGCTCGACAAATGACACTTCCCAGGCATCGAAAGGCCAGGCAAGCAACGCCTCGCCAAGCGGGTAAGGAGGAAGAACGGGGAGTTCAGGGTACAGCCCACGTACTTGTCATGAGGTTGTATTCTGGAACGCTTGATGTCTATGCGGGGAACCCTTCGCCTGAGCACACACAACAAACTCACAGCACTTGGTCGTTGAAAAAACGAAACAAGAACAAGCATGAACGAAAGATCGCAAGCGTCAGGATGAAGTCTGCCAAGGTATTGTAGTCAGGCAATGGCGCAGGCCTAGAGTGAAACAGCTGAGGTCATGAGAGGCACCTAAATAGTAGGGACGAGCACTAGGAGCCAAACCCAGAGCTCTCCAAAGGAATTGTAGGTGGTGCGGCCGTGGTGAGCCGAGATGAGGTGGTGAGCCACCTGCGGTAACCAGGCGAGCATCGCTCACTCGCCCAGTGACTGTCGCCCAGCTTCGTTGATTCACCGAGATAACAACATACCTCTGGCAAGAAATCTGGTACACGAGCAACTCACTATCTGTCATGTCTATCTAGGTTGCCAACGTTTTCCTTCCAATTACAATAACATCCCTCTAATACCTTTTCTACTGGAAGACAGCTTTCAAGAAATTGCAACCTAGCTATCACCCTTATACAGCAAATTATGTTGCAGGTTCGACCCATTGTTTGTTTTATTTATCCTAACCATATTCTCCGTGTGTTCCTGTTCATTCCCTACACAATCTGACAACCTAAACACTGGAGTGCTCGTCACAACTGCTGGCGGCAGCATCTGCCAGGAATTTTCTCCTTGCGCTCCAATCCCTCCTCTCGACAATAGCGTAGGCTGCACAGCCCCTGCCGCGCGTGACATGGAGAATGGTTGACCCCCTTCGACTTGCCCATCCGTGTCCCTCGCCACCACAGCCTGAGAGCTGGCTTCACAGGCTGCAGCACTCAAGCTGGGACTGAATCGCGAGGGCTCACCGGGGGTTAATTGGTCATGGAAGAAAGGGGAGAAGTGCAGCCCTGACTCAATCACACTGGCAGGACTTTCCTGTGGAGCTGCACGCATGGTGCATGAGCCAGCAGCGGACAATTCAGCTGCAGACACAGCACCAGTCACGGCTGGGGATTGTGCCAATGGTGCTCCAGCCAGGACCCCATTTTGTGCACTGCTTGCAGGGTGCACGTCACCATCAACCTCCAGCATTGCATGCATTGGTGCCGATGTGGCAGTGTCCTCCAAATCCGGATCAGATATCACTGCTCCATCCAGCATTGTTCCTGTGTCTCTGTGCTGTCTCCTCCCCAAGTCACAGTGAGCTCGAGGCGGAAGCTGAGACCCAGCAGGCGGGAGGAGACACGCTCTGGTTCCGCTATTTCTGCTGCTTCGGCTGCTCCTACTTCTGGCAACAGAGGGGTTGCCATTCCCATTGCTGCGCCGACTGCTGGCAGCAGATTGATCTCGTCTGCTGTCTCTGCTGCTCCTGCTGCGAGTGACCTGCGAGCTATCCATGAGAGAGGACCCTGGGGGGAAGCAGGGCGAGGTGCTGGCGCTACCAGGTGGGGTGGTGGCGAGTGCAGGCAGGGTGGGTGCACTGGAGTCACACCTGGGGCTGTGGGGTCCCAAGGAGGAATCGGGGTTGGAATCAGGTGGCATGAGGGAGCCGCCCTGCTCTTGCACACAAGGCGATGCCATGCACAGTGTATCCAGTGACAGCAGAGACGCAAAGGACGGTTGCTTCTGGTCGGCGTTGCTTGTCTGTTGTGCGCGGCGCAGCAGCTCGACGACAGTGCTCATGGAGGGGCGGGCGGCGGGGTCGCTGTGGACGCAGGCATTGGCGAGTGTGGCGACAGTGTGCAGCGCAGCAGGAGGGGGCGGTGAAGGGCAGGCGAGCAGGCGCGGGTCCAGCAGGTGGCCGTAGCGGGAGGGCTTTGAGAGCAGTGGACGCGCCTGCAGTGATCATGGGGCAGGGCACAGGGCGGATTGAGGGAGGAGAAGTGGGATCGGGAGCAATAGATAGAGGGAGAGGGGGACAAGGAAGAGGTAGGGTGAGGATTTTGAGGGGAAGAGAGGAGAATATCTACTGGATGAGAATGTTAACAGCTACGATGCAACAGGAGAAGTAACAAACACTCGCCCTGAGCACACAGTGCACCGGCAGGACTCACCCAGAGCACACAGTGCACCGGCAGGACTCACCCAGAGCACACAGTGCACCGGCAGGACTCACCCAGAGCACACAGTGCACCGGCAGGACTCACCCAGAGCACACAGTGCACCGGCAGGACTCACCCAGAGCACACAGTGCACCGGCAGGACTCACCCAGAGCACACAGTGCACCGGCAGGACTCACCCAGAGCACACAGTGCACCGGCATGACTCACCCAGAGCACGAGGCTTTCCTGGCCGAGTGGCCTCGAGGTGTCAACGGCCTTGCGGCCCGACAGCAGCTCCAGCAGCACCACCCCGAAGCTGTACACGTCGCTGGGCACCATCAGATGCCCCGTCATTGCGTACTCCGGCGCCACGTACCTGCATGGGGGGAACGGGTGGGTGAGGGCGGAGGGGGTGGGTGGAGGAGGGGGGACAGAAAAGGGAGGAGGGTGACGAGGAGGGTTAGCATGAAAAATGGTGTTGATCAGAAGACGGCCAGACGTTGGGACTTGCTTCCATCGATCATGTGCAAGATTCAACCACAGCCGACCCGCCACTCACCCAAAGGTGCCCATGACGCGGGTGGACACGTGCTCATCCGCCCCCTGCGGCGCCGCCTTGGCGAGCCCAAAGTCAGCGAGCTTGGGGCTCATGCGCGCATCCAGCAGGATGTTGGACGGCTTTAAGTCGCGGTGAATCACCGCTGGCTGCGACCCCTCGTGTAGATACGCCAGCCCCCTCGCCGCGCCCACTGCTATGCTGACCCGCGCGGGCCAGTCGAGGAAGGCGTGGTGGGAGTGCGGCCCGTGCAGCCACGAGTGCAGACTGCCGTTCGGCAGCAGCTCGTAGCACAGCATGTGCTCGCCCGGTGCTACACAGTAGCCGAGAAGCTTAACTAAGTGGCGGTGGTGCAAGCGTGACAGAACTTCCACCTCCACTAGGAACTCCCTGTCGCCCTGCCGCCCGCCCCGGTCCATCCTCTTTATTGCCACTTCGATAGGAGCAGCAGGGGGGGAGGAGGAGGTGGAGTGCGGTTGGGGGGGTATGTTGCCGCGGTAGACTCGCCCGAAGCCGCCCTCGCCCAGGACTGACGACTCGTGGAAGCTGCAGGAGGGACGGGGAGGGACAGGAGAAGGGGGAGGCGAAAGGGAGGAAGAGATGGAGTGGAGTGGAGGGGGTGGGGGGTTTGAGGAGTGAATGATTAGAGGGAGAAGTTTGGTCAGGCCAGGATGAGAGGGCGAATAGGAGAGAGAGAATGGGAGAGAGGAAGGAGATGAGAAGCAAAGGAGTGGTACTTGTTGGTGGCGAGAGCCATTTCTTGGAGGGAGAACTCCCTCACCCCGGACAGCCCACCCAATCCTCCCTTTCCGCTGCCCCCTGCAACTCCCCCATCGCTGTTGCCCTCGCTGCCCCGCCCGCAACCCAGCCCTGCAGCGGGCAGTGCAGCCGCGGATACAGCAGCACGCACACACTCGTCTCCAGGCTCTGCCCTTGTGTCCGCTCCGTCATCGCGTGCACCCATCTTACTGTACGCCCCTGCTGCCCCTGCCGTGAATCCAGCTGTGCTTGACGCGAGACAGCAATTTGCATAGGCATCCCCATCCTCATCCGAATGTGCAGGATGGATTGGGTGCTGCAGGTCGCTGCTTGACCCCTTGCCCTTGATCAGCACCTCTGGCTCTGCTGCACATGTGAGGACGGGGAGTGGGAGAGGGGGAGAGATGGGCGTGCGTGGGATTCTGGACATACAAGCAGCATGGAAAGCACAGTTATAGCACAGGAAGGAGTTGAGTCTCCAGACAAGACCATGCAGGGGATAGCAAGTGCATGCGGGCACATTGCATGTGACGTACTTGGATCAACGGGCACATTGCATGTGACGTACTTGGATCAACGGGCACATTGCATGTGACGTACTTGGATCAACGGTGCGGCAAGGCATCCAAGTGCAGTAGAGCAGGCCTCCCACGCCCACTGCAGTTACTGCCACCGCACCCACCACCAGCAGCACTACCATGTTCACGCTCATCCCCTCCCCTGCACTGTTCTCCCCTGCACTGTTCTCCCCTGCACTGTTTCCGCCTGCCTGTGCGCCCACCCCTCCCGTGGCAGTGCCAGAGCCAAGGCTATTGCTACTGGAGCCACTGTAATTGCCTACCCCCCCCGGGCTAGGGCTGCTTCCTCCTTGGCTGCTCGTGCTGTTGCTGCTGCTGCTGCTGCTGCTGCTGCTGCCACTCGCACTGTCAACGACATTGCTGTTACCACTGGCATTGCTGGTGGTGTAGCCACCACCACCACCGCCACCGCTGCTGCTGCCGCTGTTGCCTGGGGCTGGTGGGGCCGGAACGGGCGGTGGCGACGGCGTGGGCAGGGAGGGAGGCGCAAGGGGCGGCAGCAGCTGAGTGAGGGCCACAAGCGAGTACTCCCCGTACAGCCTGGCATCCAGGTGTATCTCGTGCCGCCTCATCCGTGAGTCGACCTGCGCCAGGAAGCTTCTGGGGAAGGTGGGCTGATAGCGCGGGAGGAGCAGCAGAGTGACAATGGCGGCGGTGTGGTCGGTGCGGGATAGGGAGCGGCGCAGGATGCACGACTCGGGCAGGCGCAGCTGCTCCGCCAGGTCCTGACACGCGGGCGAGAGAGGGGGGCGCGGGGAGGCGTGAGAAGGCAGGCGGGTGAGCGAATGAGTGTTACATGCATGTGCTATGCAACAATCGCCAACAGACGACCGTGACACGGCGACCGTTAGATGGCGACCGTCAGATGGCGACCGTCAGATGGCGACCGTCAGATGGCGACCGTCAGATGGCGACCGTTAGATGGCGACCGTCAGATGGCGACCGTCAGATGGCGACCGTCAGATGGGATGCAGGGACTGTCAGATGGCGACTGTCAGATGGCGACTGTCAGATGGCGACTGTCAGATGGCGACTGTCAGATGGCGACTGTCAGATGGCGACTGTCAGATGGCGACTGTCAGATGGCGACTGTCAGATGGCGACTGTCAGATGGCGACTGTCAGATGGCGACTGTCAGATGGGGACTGTCACATGGCAAGCGTCACATGGCAAGCGTCACATGGCAAGCGGCATGGAAGCAACGTACGTGGACGAAGGATGCGAAGTGCATCTCCACGGCCGTGGCGTTGGACAGCCGCACCGCCAGCTCCGCGGGGTGCACGCACGCGCACCGCCCCTCCGTCGCGCTCGGACTCAGCGCCTCCCACTCCCGCTGCGAGCACGCCCCCGCGCACACCACTGGCGGAGGCGAAGGCGCAGACGGAGGCGATGGGGAATTTCCGCTTTCCCCCGTCCTCTGACTCGTCGTCCGCGTGTCCGGGGTCGGCGTTGGTGCGGTTAATCGGCGCAGCGCCGTCCAACTGCTCCGAGTCCCCTGGGTCATCCTCCTCATCCACACTGTCAATCTCGCTCTCTTCGGCTTCCGGCAGAGGAGATTCCTGACTCGGGTGCTCTGCTCCGTCGCTGTCATCGTCATCGTCATCGTCATCGTCATCCTGAATGTGTACGTCACGGCTCGAATACGGGCTGCGATTTGCCGGTCGAGTGACGGGGAGACGAATAGCGGCTGGAGAATGGAGGGGGGTGAGCGGAGAGGGGATAACGATCAAGTACCAGACACGGATGCAATGAGGGTAAGGGGAACGAAAAGTGTGGCGGAAAACAGCAGCAGGTGAAGGCAAGGCCAAGTAGGCTGGGAATTCGGTACAGGCGAGTGTCTTTATCCCTGCTCTGCTTGTCAAGCCCGGCCAACCACTCTGGTCTCCGGAAACGAGGGGCTCACCTGTTGGGATAGCGGTGATTATAGCGGTTACGATCGCAGTCAGAATGGTTAGGTGAACAAATACTGCGGGGGCCATGCGAAACCGTGAAGGTTGAGATCTCGGCGACCGTGGCCACGGGAGATGTTGGATTAACACCATTGATTATGCGCGGACATGCGAGTGACTCGATAAAGAATACGAACAGTCTTACTACAAGCAGACCGAACAACTATCAGCTGAAAAAAAAGGCTTCGGCTAATGATACGCCTCTACATTATGGCATTAGATTGTCGGGCTCTGCTCCTACTGGTAGCCAGGGTACGAATCCAGTGAATCATGTGTGTTGAAAAGTCAAAACGGACTTTCAACGAGTGATCGGAAATTCGAAGCAGTTCCTGCTCTCGAGTGATACCGGACTGAAACGAGCAGCATTTTGAACACCTCACTACATCGCCTGATGAAGCATTCCTGACTTCTAATAAGTCACCTGAATCACTACCTTTCATAAACACATACCGCGACTAACGAGAATCAGTCTTTCGCCACAACGCGAGACGCGTCAGGCGACTGACGTGCAGGGAACAAGCAACCAGGAAATGCTGGCAGCAGGAGAGAGTTGTGGTGAGCGAGAACGAGGGTTGCTCAGCGATGGCTGGCTCGCCTTGGGAATTTCGGTGGCTGTGTTGGCTGATGAGCAGCCTAACTTCTTCTGGGTAACTTATCCAGTTCACAGATGAATATCCTGGAAACGCTAAACGCTAAGCCCACCATGAGGAACATGGAGACGCGGAAGTGTAAAATATGGTCGGAGCTGCGTGGGTCGTGTTTTGTCCCGTCAAACTCCAAGGCTGGTCACCCTTCAGAACGGGCAGGAACTGGTATCATATGCCATTCAATCCTTTTCCCAAGGGATGGCTGGCGGAAAAAGTCCGTGAGCGCCCTTCCCCACCAATCCTCGCAGGACGGGGGAGAGAGAAGCTACCCTTCCCCAATCTTGCCAAATTGTGTCGCATCGCATGCTCGGCATGCGCTGGCGTAGGAAAACGATCGCTTTTGTTCGTCGCATAGATGGAACAGCGGCCAACTTCATACATACTCAGATTAGTCCCGAGCGGAATCTCAGGTGTAATCAACCTGGAAATTCTCAACTTGATTGGTCGTCGCTGTCTAGTCACATTTTTTACGCTGGTCGGAAATATTTAAAAAGTGACAAAAACAAAACTATATAGTTTACCCTCCCGACCTGGATTTGTTAAATTAAAGTACGTAAATTTACGACGGGGCAGAACAACTAAACCCCTATAGAATCTGGACGAATTTTCGGGAGGGATCAACCCTAAACACGGGAAAGGGCATTATTTTTAGGGTTGATGCCTCCCGAGTCGCATCCCATTCCGATTAAGTGTTATTTAAAGGGTCAAGAAAGTGCAATATATTTCTCCTGAAGTGGGCGGCTTCCCGTAGTTAGGGTTGATCTGTCTCGAAATTCATCTAGGTTCGCTACAAGGTTTTTTTTCAGGTGCTGCATTCTCTGTAGTGACTGTATTCAGAACACAACAAGAAGAACTTACTACTATATCACGAAACTGTGTTTCTGTTGGTGATTACACCTGAGAACCCGCTCGCGAATACTTTGAGTATCTATGATATTGGCCGATAGAACAGCGAGGCGCGTAGGCGCTTGCGACTGAAGACTTGACCAGTAGGACCGTGTGACCAATAGGATGCAAGGAACGAGGGGCTGAGCCTCACAACTGGCGAGCCAGGAAACACCGGAGAAGCAACCGAGTCAAACTAGACCTCGCGCGACGCTCTCAGAATCAGCCTCGTTGCATGGAAAGAAAAAAGGGGAAAAAAATACAACCTTATACATACAATGATAAGCCACAAACTATCCAGCTCTGCTATATACGCGCTCCCAAGTCCAAGACCCTTGGGTCGTAGTTCAGCTTGCACAGGCTCGGAAAATGCCCTGCTTGTCCTTCCCAAGGCCAGAGCCAATGCGGAAACCCATTTGTGCCATCATGCGCGACCCAAACCCCCTCGTGTGCGCCTCAAAACTTGCAAAATCCGCTGCCACACCACAGCCACCCACACTGCTCCTGTCAACCCTACCTTCTTCCCTTCCTCCCCTTTCTCTCCTCCCTCTGCTACCCGCTGCCACCTTGCCCTCGTCGGCCTCCTCTTGCCTCTCCGTTACCCTGCCTGCCACTCTTTGCCCCACCTTTGCTCTGAAGAGTCCTTCTCTCCTGACCAATGGCCACACCAGCGACCTGTCCCTGCAAGGCAACAGAGGCCCCTACACTGGCTGCAGCGGCAGCATCCGCTGCGTTTGTTGTGACACCCGCCACACTGCCTGTAGGGCTCGCACCAGAGGACGCACCCCACACCCGTTTCTGCACCTTCCTCACTCATCAGAACCCCCAAAACCTCCTCTGCTTCTGAGCCTGACTGCTGCACGTTCTGTACAGTCACGCTCACCTCAGTCACCTCCTGGTCGCCCCCGTCTGTTACAAGCACATCGGTGGCCATGATACCCCGTGACACAAACACCACAGGGTTCGATGCATACCCCTGCCTCCCTGAACCACTTCCCGCTCTCCCCTCCCGCACACCCCGCCTCCCCTTCCCCCCCCCAGCTTGCACCAGCCCTCCGCCCTTCCTCCGCCACAGAGTCTCCTCCTCTCCGCTAAGCCCTCTCTCCCTTCCCCTCCCCCCCTTCCCCTCCTGCGCCTTCTCCCGCAGCGCCTTCTTCTGTGCTGCTTTGTCCCTCTGCAAGCGCTCCCCCAGTGCCTGCATCAGCCGCGCTGGGCCTGCGCCCTCCGCTGCTTGCGTGACACACGACTCGCTTCACCCGGCACAAGCCACTCCTCCTCCTCCAACTCCAGAAACGCATCTTCCTCCTCACTGCTTCCCTCACCCTCCCCACCCTCCTCACTCTCAGCACTCCCATCAATCTCCCCATCCTCCTCGCTCCCATCACTCTCTTCACTCTCTTCGCTATCCTCCTCCCCACTCTCATCATCTTCATCCTCCTCCTCCTCCTCCTCCTCCTCCTCCTCCTCCTCCGACTCCTCCTCATCCTCGTTCTCATCACTGTCATCATCATCACCCATCATGAGCATCATCTCCTCCATCTCAGCGATTCCTCGCTCCACATCCATGTCATCCATGTACTGAGCCAGCCGCCGCTCTCTGTAGTCCCCACCCTTCCTCCTCACCCCCCGCTGCCCCGGCCTGCTGCTCGCATCACCACACTCTGCGGCAGCGGGCTCTTGCAAGGTTGAAGCGCCCGAGAATCTGGAAGGCAGGGACGAAAGGGAGGCGCAGAGGTGGCAGTCGTGGTTCCAGAGAGAATTGGGAAAACACGCAAGGGATGCAGCGAACATAGGGTAGGAAAACAGCAGTGCCCCAGCAAGGCCCAACAAACTGCCAACAAGAGGGCCCTCAGAATGAGCAGCAGACCTCTTCCAATCGAGTCATGTCATCTCCCTGTGGCACTGCTGTGTGCCGCCCAGACCGAAAGAGCAGCATCCTGAAGGGCAAGACGGAAAAAGCCAAACATGTGCAAGGCATCATGGAGAGGGGCACAAAGAGAGAGAATAAAGGTCGTGAGAAGAGGTGCTGGGAGAGAGGTGGAGGGGAGGAAGGCAGGCATGAGACACAAGCATGCAAGGCGAGGCGAAGGAGGCGATGAGCAAGCAGTGAAGAGGGAGTGAACGGAGAGAAAGGCAGTTGCACATACTTTCTCTTGCCACTCTGCTGCACCGTGGTGGTCAGGCGATATGAGCGCGCCATGCCTTGTACCTGCGGAATGTGAACGGAGGAGATGGTGGATGGACATTTGTGAGATGCCTGCATGCAAGCAACCAGCCATGTATGCATAAAATACTAGCATAACGCCATCCTTACAGTGCTGGCATGCACATGTGCACACACGCAAACATGAACATGTGACCCTTGCTGTCTGGTGGTGCAGGTGATGAGCAAACGCACCATGGAGAACTGGTGCTGTGTCAATGGAGGCGACGCAAAGACGTCCACACGGCCCACCGGCCACCTGCTGCATGCCCTGCTCACGAACACGGCAAGGGCAGGCCCAGGGCGCAAGTGGGAAGAGTTGGAAACTAGATGCCTAGAGACAGGGTACGACCCGACACACTGTGCGCAGCAGCGTCAGGTTGATTCTAGGCAGGCGCACTCCCCATGGCAGCTCACCTGGTTGAGGTGCATGAGGTCCACGTCAGCAGCATCGGGGCTGAATCCCACAGCTCGCTGCATGCGCTTCAGCTCCCTCGCCTGCTTCCTGCGCCCCTTCTTGCTGCCCGCCGCTGCCAGCGGCGAGCAGGGGGGGGAAGGATGGAGAGGAAGGGAGGAATTGAAGGGGAGAAAGGGGAGGATACAGGTAAAAGAGAGGGCTTTCAAGGCACGCAGCCCAACTACTTGGCCAATCAGAGCGACCCATCTTCCATTGCTTCCCCCCTCCCCTAGTCTCAGAATTTATTTCCTCCCTCATCGCCTTCCCCCCCAGCAACACTCTGACCCATCCCCCACACACTGATGCACCCCCCACCTTTTGCCGCCTTCTTGGTTTGCTTCGCCAGGGCCCTCTTTGCCTTCCTTGCAGCCTTCTTTGACCCGCGCCCCATCCCTCCCCTGCCGCTACTGCCCTCCGCACCCCCCCCTGCTCCTGCTCCTTCTCCTTCCCCAGCTCCCCCCTTTCCTGCTCCTGCTTGCCCTGCCCTCCCTCTCCCTGCCACTCCTCCTCTCCCCGCCCCCCCCTCCTCTCCCTGCTCCCACTCCCCTCGCTGCCCGCCCTCTGCCGCGTGTCGGGGCTGCAGTGCCCCGTGCAACAGGAGCAGCAGAGGCGGGGCAAGGGGGAGCAGGAGCAGCAGAGGGGCGCCCTTGCCCTTGCCCTTGGCTGTCTGGCGGCGAGCCAGCTCCCTCTGGTAGGCCGCCTCAAGCTCCCTCTCCCACTCCTCGCCCAACTCCTCCTCCATACCCTCCGAGCTCTCCCCTTCCTCCTCCTTCTCACTCTCTTCCCCCTCCCCCCCCTTCACTCTCTTCTTCCTCCTCCCCTTCGCCCTTCCGATCCCCCTTGTCTGCATCCTCCTCCGCGCCTGCACCTTCCGCCTCCTCCCCATGCACCCCAGCATCCAGGCCCCCTGCTTCACTGCCCTTCCTCATTTCGCCCTGCCCTGCCGCCCCGCCTGCCCTCGATCCTCCTCTGTCGCCCGCCTGGCCCCCTGTTTCAAGCCCCTGACACGTTTGAGGTGGTTCCAGAACTCCTCGGGAGAGGGCGCGGAGGCACCAGCGCAGTACCCCAGCCCAGTGTGCCGCTCCTCCTCGTACCACACTCCGCCTTCTTCGCCCTCGCCGTCGCTCTCACTCTCGCCCTCTCGCCCTCCGCCCACCACTGCATCTGCTTCTTCCCCGTTCCCCTCTTCCACCTCCTCATCCTCGCCCTCCTCGCCCTCCTCCTCCTCATTGAATACCTCCTCTGCCTCTTCCTCCCCCACTTCTTCCTTTGCCGCCTCCTCCTCGACCTCCACTTGTTCCTCCTCCACTTGTTCCTCCTCCACTTGTTTCTCCTCCACCTTTTCCTCCTCCACCTTTTCCTCCTCTGCCACCCTTCCCTCCATTACCACCACCTCCTCACCCTTATCCGCTTCCTCATCCGTATCGTCCGCCTCGCCCTCCCCCATGCTCGCATCATCACTATCATCCACAAGGTTACCCATAAAGTCCAGTGCCACGTCAGCATCGATGCTACTATCGCTGCCCTCCTCACTCTCTTCCCCACTGTCACCATCCTCCTCACTCTCTCCCTCCTCCCATCCCACCTCTCCTTCCCCCACCTCTTTCCCCACCCCTCCCCCTCCCCCTACCCCTCGCCCCACCCCCAACCTTCCACGCCCCTGCCTCCCTCCATCCCCATACCCCTGCCCTTCATACCCCCCACGCCAACCCACACCTCTACCTGTCGATACAGTCACACCGCCAACAGTCACATACCCCACGTCCTCCACCCCCCATCCAGCATTCCGCCCTGGCCCCCGGCCCCACGCCCACTGCCCGCTCCCCACCTCCACTTGTTGCTCGTCTCCCCTGCCCCTCCTCCCTCCACCGCCCCTGCCTCTTCCTCTGCCCCCACGCCCCCTTCCCCTGCCTCGCTGCCAACCTCCCTCACCCCACTGCTGTCCTACACTCCCTTGACCCCCTTGACCCGCCTGACCCACTAGACCCCCTAGGCCTCCCTGGCCTGGTGAGCCCCCTTGGCCTCTTCTTCCTTGTTGCACTCCTCTGCTGTCTCGCCGCTCCTTCCCTCGCCCTCCGCCCTCCCTCCGCCCCCTCACCCACCCCGTCTGCCCTATGGCCTCCACGCCCATGTGGAGCCTCTCAAACCGCACTGCCACGTCTGCAGGACACGTCACTTCCGCTGCTTCCACTGCTCCTACTACGGACAGCGGCAAGCGCTTTTGCCTGTCATCCAAAAGGTAGGAGCCCCCCCTCTCTTCCACCACAGGCAGCCCCTCGCACGCTCCTACAGCACCACCTGGTGCAGCACCTGACCCAGCATCTGCATGCTTAGACAGGCTCACGGGGCCAGCAGCAGCAGCAGCAGCAGCAGCAGCAGAACCGCTTGCATCCAAGCCCGGCTGAGCCGGTGCGTGGCTACTAGTGGAAGAGCCTCCCCTGTCGAAGAAAACAGGCAGCACCGTCACCGCCCTGCCCCTTCTCTGCTTCCACTGCTGCCCCCAGCACAGCTGTCTCCCTCTCCGCGCCGCTGCTGCTTCCTCCTACCTGTGAGCCACTTGATACAGCCGTCGTCCCATCACCTCCTCCTTTGCCGCCCTGCACTTTCTCTTCCACCACCATCGCCTCGTCCCCCTCCGTCCCTTGTACCCCCCTCTCATTGGCATCCCCCCGTCCGTTCCGTCGTCCCCAACCCCTGCGTGCTCCTTTTTCTCCTCCTGCTCCCCACCCTCGCCGTCCCCTCGCAGCACTCCGCCCGGCCTGAACGTCCTCGCTGCGCCCTCGCTCGTCCCGGCACCACTCGATACCTCTGCCCTGTGAGACCCGTACCCAAGGCCTCTGTGCCCGCCTGCTCCTGCATGCACACCAGCACCACCGCCACCAGTAGGACCTTTCCCGTCCCCCCGACCTTGAGCTCGCGAGGATCCGCACGCCAGCCTCAACCACACGCCACGCGCCTTCCTCCCACGCCACTCCGCACCGCCGCGTGCTCCCTGCGCTGCTCGTCCCTCTCCAACTCCTCCTTTCTCCTCCTCACCCCTCCCCCGTACGTCCCTCTGCTCCGAACCCCTCGCCTCGTCAAGGTCGCCTGTGTCATATCCGCCCCCCGAACAGTTTCATACTCGTACACGAATTTCACCGCAGAGTAAATGCCCCGTCCGCTTGCCGCTGCACCGCCGCCGCTAGCGCCCGGCTGCCGAGGCTCATTCCTCCGCGGATTCTGGTTTTCATTTGACGGCTGCGCGCCGATGCCACGGCCACGACCACGGCCGGCCCTCATGGCGCGTCCGCGGCCTCGAAAGCCTCGCCCTGAGGCTCCGCCATCCCCAGTCTCGTTCGCACCGCCTCGCCCGTCCGATCTTCCTTGATCATTCGGTCTTCCTCCGACGTCGTTTGCAGTGCCGTGGGGAGCACCGCCACGACCTCTTCCCGCCGATCCACCATTCCCGCGCCCCCGCCTCCCCGCTTCCTCCGCCGCTGCCCCCCCCTCGCTTGCCTCCTCCTCTGTTCCTCCTACCCATGATCGTTGTGTTTGCGATTACTCTGCCAGGAATCTAGAGCACCGACTGCAAGCTGCACAAAGATCGCACACACCCGCGACTCTACAAGCAGAAAAGCATCAAGAAACACAGGGTGTCGCACAGACGGAAAATCGACCTAACGAGCAGCAGCGCCAACTGCGCGCCTTGCTCAGGGTACTAGGGAGAGTTCGACTGCCCTGGAGCTGAGAATATGCTGTGGCCGAGGGGGGAGATAGGAACATGAATGTGCGGACATTCAGCAATGAAGTGCAGCAGCGAGGTGACGCGTTTCGGGCATGCATGTCACCATGGTGTGCAGGACACGCCACGAACACTACTCATGGGTTTGGTTTCCATGAGTCACATTACATCATGACTCGATTTTATTACACCTTTTGCAGGAAGATCCACAATCACGTTATGGGTGGATTTGGAACACACCTTTTAGAAGTAAATTCCACAAACACAATCGCTGGTTAAAGACTCTGTACAGGATAAAAAACTATCATGTGAAGGTGGTTTGTATCAATCACAGAATGGAAACCATGGCTACTGTGTTGCTTGAGCAATGATGGAGGACAAACTACCACCCTGCTCCTTTGCTGTCTCCACCAACGTGTCCTGGAGTGAGAAACAGACCGGAGCGTCAGTGAGAAGGCTGTTGCAACAAGTGAAGATAATACAGGTACCGTAACTGGGTGGAGCTTACCTGAGCCGCTATCACTCTTGCAACGGACTTCTTGCTTGACTCTTGTAGCTCTCCTGCTATGAGGATTTCATCTAGTATATAGTATGCCTGGAAGGAGCACAAACACATCGGACGGAAGGTTGGGTTGGAAAACAACAAGATAATGCCTCCTGACCTAAACTGCAAAACAACTGAGTCGCAGTGCCACTAGTGCAATATAGGCGCACCTTGTGAAAGTTGAAGATGAGATCGAGCTCGCAGACCTGCAGAATGACAGCAGCAGGTGGAGAGCCGCCATAAGAGGCTAGTAAATTGGTAAACGGCAGCACTAGAAAGCAGAGGCATGGGAGCAAATGCGGGAGAAGACGTCGCTTACGTTGGTGAAGTAGCGGTCGAGCACCTCGACGTAGTGGTGGATGATCTCGAGGGTCTCAAGCTCGTTGTCGTTGATGTCCACGCACATGCAGAAGTACAGGCTCGCGTACCTGCAATGCACACCCACACCACACCAGCGTCACGAGCGTCAGCTGGCTGAAGCACTTGGACCTTTTGGCAGACTTCAGCAGACAAGCAAAATTTCGCTTGCAAGGGAACCTATGGCGGACTTCATCAGGCTAGCGTAAGCTTCCCTTGCAGTTATAAGCGAGCTCACGAAGTCGAAGAGTCTTACCGCTTGTAAACGACCTTGTAACCCCTCCAATCCACGAAATTACATAGCTTAGCAGGTCTGCTGAGTATCGTTCCCGACAGCTCCCGCGTGATCTGGCATGTGGACATCGACTTGATACATTAGCTTCACAAATAACTTCTAGGGACGCACGAATTCACTCGGAAACCACCCACGAGAGCAAGTAGGCAGACGGTTCGCGACGGGATGCGCATACCTTCGTCCGTTCCTTTTGAGAGTACGCGGAATACCATTTTGCCAGCCTGACCTTCCCTTGCCGGCTAATGAGGAGCACGAAGTGAATCTGCCAGGACGACATTTACGAGAAGTAAGCAACCCTACAGATATCAGAAATCTACCACCTCGACTTTTCCGCAGCAAAAACTCACCATACTGTATCCACGTCCCTAATCGACGGCTCGGAATAGTCGTTCTCAAAAGCCTAAGCAGGTGAGGTAAAAAAGGCGGATCAACTAACGGGATTGAATGACTGCTGAGAGGCACGCAGATTGACTGGTGGTACCAACAGCAATGTGCTGATGAAACCTAGGGAGAGTGGGAGGAATGAAATTGGCTAACGGCTAGCGATGAGTTTTGATATTGATGATCAGCCATTTTGTATAGAGAACACTTTCAATCTCGGTATAAATATTTATGCATCTGCTGCCTCTATCGGCGTATATCTATATAGCATTTTTCCACGGCGAACCCGCCGACATTTTTTTGGGAGGCACGGCACGGCATTGGTTCAGAGGCTGCTGGTGATTCACGTCACGGCCTGACAGCAACGTGCGAAGCGCCTGCGAAGATGGCGGTCTGTGAGGACAAGTGGCATGGTCCAGAGAAACTAGCCGGCTGAGAAAGTGGATGCGAATTGGGGATATATTGCACTGCGTGTATTATGAGCCCACGCACAAGCCAGGCCACAGCTAAAAAAATTGCTCCACTCTCATGGTCATAACGATTACCGTGTCGCCGTCGAAAGATCTGTACGTTTAGTGGGCACCGTGTCCTGTGACACTGTACCTCTCGCAGTAGCGTCTGTATTTACACGTAATAAGGCGCACAACTCGATGCAGTTAGAGGCTTGGAATACGATGCGACGACCGAGGTCAGCCAGATGATTCTACGGCGATTAATCCTGGCGCTGCAAGCCCTAGCAATGCGAACAGCCAAGTCACCAGACTTTTCTTTCATCTCGCTGCTTCGCAGCAAGCGCCTGTCGTTCTATGTCGCCCTCTCCAGCATTAGCGGCTTCCTCATCCTTTCCTTCCTCGTCTCTTCACCACATACGGTCGCTTACGCTTCCAATATGATTCATTCATCTCGCTTTCGGCGGTTAGTAGCAGCAACCCAGCAGCCATGGCGGCTGGGACGATGTCGATCGGAGAGCTCACAGAAGACGGATACTTCCCGCCATGTCCGTCCAACTGGACTCACCACATCCCGTGCTACGATCCAAACATCGCCGTCCACTTTCCCTTCGCAGACAACGTTTTCCGCGAGCGACACTGCCCGCCTCCTTCAGCCCGCCCGCGCTGCCTGATTCCCCCTCCCCCCGGCTACCAGCGCGCGCCCCCCTGGCCGGATAGCCTATGGAGCGTGTGGCGGAACAACGTACCGCACTCTAAGATGCTCAAGGACCCGCGGAACGTCCTGTGGATGGAGCTACGTGGCAACACATGGCATTTCCGCACGCTTTGACAGCTATGCCCGAAGCGGACGGCGCGGAGCGGTACGTGGCGCAGCTGCGCAACTTCATTCCGTTCGGGTCGCGCCTGCGCACGGCTCTCGACACATCGGCGCGGGGGTGGGGGGATTCGCGGTGGAGCTGCTGCGCCAGGGCATGATCACTGTGTCGCTCGGCCCGCGCGACGGTTTCCGCGGGCAGGCGCAGTTTGCGCTCGAGCGCGGGCTGCCCGCGCTGGTGGGCATCCTGGCGACGATGCGCCTGCCGTTCCCGTCGCTCGCGTTCGACCTCGTGCACTGCTCGCACTGCCAGGTCCCCTTCGGCCTCCCCAGTACGTGCGCCGCCACCCCCGCGCTCTCTCGTGGCCTCTCGCGCATCCCGCGCACCCCATCCAGTGCCCTCGTGCTCTCGCACGCGAGAAGTTTGTTGCTCATTTGAATAGCAGGGTCCCTGAATTCCCTTCCCTCACCCGCCTTCCCCTCCCCACATTCCCCCCCTCCTCCCCCCATTCAACCCCCCCCCCCTCTCTCTCCAGACGGCACGCACCTGTTCGAGGTGGACCGCGTGCTGCGCGCGGGGGGCTTCTTCGTGCTGGCGGGGCCGCCCGTGCGCTGGCCGGGCAGGGCGGCTGAGTGGCGCACGCTGCGCGATAAGGCGCGCGCGCTGTGCTGGCGGCTGGTGCTGGTGGTGCCGCACGTAGCCATCTGGCGGAAGAGCAGGGGGGTTGAGGTGGCGGGCGGAAGCGGGGAAAGCGGGGGGGAAAGAAGATGGTGTCCTGGAGCCAAGGAATATAGAGAGGCGGAACAAGAGGGGGGCGGAACGGGGGAGAGGGAGAAGGAGGGAGGCAGTGAAAGGGAGGAGGTAGAGGATTCGCAGGAGGGAGGGGCAGAGAGAAAGGAGGAGGGGAGGGGCGGAGAGAGAGGAGAAGAGGCAGAGAGGGAGGAAGGAGGTGGGGAGAGGGAGGAAGGAGGGGCGGAGAGGGAGGAGTTAGGGAGTAAACAAAAGACAGGAGGAGGAGCGAGGAGGAGGAGGAGAAGTGGAGGCGGGAGGAGAGGAGAGGAGAAGCGGAGGAGGAGGAGAGGAGAAGCGAGGAGGCGGGCGGAGGGGAGGGCGAGATGGGCGCGGAGGTGTGTGGCGCGGACGACCAGCCCGACGCCGTGTGGTGCGTGCCCCTCTGCTGCCACCGCCTCCACTGCCTGCCATGCCGCCGCCCTACCCCCCACCCGCCCCACTGCGATCATGCACGCTGCACTCCACCCTCGCCCCGCGCCACCGTACTAGCCCCCCTTCCTCAACGACTCCTATCTGCTTTCTCCTTTTCCTCGCGCCCTCCTTCCCAACCCCACCCCTTCAGGTACTCCCCCTTGCAGCCTTGCGCCATCCGCCTCCCCCCCTCCGCGTGGAGCCTCCCCCCCTGGCCGCATCGCCTGTGGTTCGCCTCCCCCCGCATCTACGACTCCCCCCTCATGCACCCGCCCACAGATCCGCCGCCCAACGCGGTGGAGGGGGTGCTGGGGGAAAGGGGGAAGAGAAGGACAAGGGGAAGGTGAGAAGGAGAGGGAAAGGCACGGGAGGAAAGGCAGGGGGAAAGGAGGGAAGCGCAGGAGTGGAAAGGAGGGAATGAGATGAAGAGTGAGGGGTCCGCAGATGGGGAGGGGAGATGCAAGAGGGCGAGGAAAACGGGGCGAAAGAGGGGGAGAAAAGTGGGTTGAAGGAGGGGGGGGATAAGGCTGTGGAGCAGGTAAGGGGAGAGCAACAGCACTGAGGCCCCTGTTGCTGCTGCTGCTGCTGCTGCTTGCGCTGCTGGCTGCTGGCTGCTGTGGTGTTGGTGGGCGGCGACTGCTCAGCTCTGATGTGCATGGCGCTGGTGGTGCTGCTCATGGCGGGGAAGGAGGGGGAGGGGAGGAGAGGAGGAGGGGAAGGGGGAGGAGGAGAGGGAGGAGGGGAAGGGGGGGAGGAGGAGAGGAGGAGGGGAAGGGGGAGGAGGAGGAGAGGGAGGGGGAAGTGAGGCAGACAGGACTGAGAGAGCAGCGGCAGGGCAGGAGGGGGAGGAGGGCGACATGCGCAAGGCGCTGAAGGCGGAACAGCAGAAGTCACTCATGAACGCAGCAACACATCGCAGTACAGCAAGCGGCAGGGCACGGCGCTCGCAGCACTGTCGCCGCGGCAGAAGCGCATGAACATGGAGAGCGGCGCTGGGGCACCCGCCTGCGCACTACGAGTCGCTGTTCCTGGGCGACCTGCTGGGCTACCAGGGCCGCGGAAGCACCGCGAGGGCGCTGAGGGGACGGTGGGGAGGCCAAGGGGGAGAAGAGCGAGGAGAAGGGGAGGAGCAAGGAGGAGAGCAGGGGCCGGGGAAGGTGCGGAACGTGCTGGACATGAATGCGGGGGTGGGGTCGTTTGCGGCGGCGCGTGCGCAGGGGAGGGAGGAGGACGGGGAGGAGCGAGTGTGGGTGATGAACGTGGTGGCGCTGAGGAGTAGACTCAAACACCCTGGCAGCCCAACTGTGTTTGACCGACGCGACCCGGCGGCTCGTGGCACCCTGCATGACTGTGTGAAGGCGTTTCTCGTCGTACCCACGCGCATACGACCTCGTGCATTGGCAAGGCGCTCCTCCTCCTTCCACCCGTGAGTCCGCTGCCCTTCTGCTGCCGTTGGAGGCGAGGCATTGTTCGCTGGGAAGAGATGGAGCACGAAGCACATAGCGTGTCACAATCTTTCATTTCTGGGAAAGGTTTCTACTTTGTCATTCTCCCCAACCCCCTCCGTGCCACTTCCACAGGGACCGATGTGATATAGATGACGTGATTATAGAGGTGGACCGGCTTTTGAGACCAGGAGGCACAGTGATTATAAGAGACCTGCCGGCCGTGCTGGAGGGCGTGCAGA